ACCGTATCATTATTATTATTATTATTATTATTATCAACAAACCTGTCTCTTGTTCAGAACGAGGACATATTTGCCATCAGGCGAAGCAAAGGGAGACCCAGTTGCTTTGTCTGTGATCGCGTCGGCGGCATGAATCACGGCGTCTCGTGTCAGATCGACGACAACCATCATTCTCTGCCTATGCCCTCTTAAAATTCCAAGACACTGTACGAAAGCGTAGTTTTTAACCGAAGAGTACGCCAAGCCGAATGTCGATTTGCAGCCATACATTGATGTATTAATAAACTTGGCATACATTTTTTTCGCTAAATCAATCTTGTGGATTCCTGGCTCATTAAAGTGGGTGACAACGCCATATTGGATATTCCGGTTGATATTCTGGCAGTTTTCAGCTTCAAAATATCCATGCATTACATCCTTGTATGAATCAGCAACCTACAATAATAATAATTTGCAGATAATCAGGGAGGGGGGAGATTTATTGGCAAAGTAGTCTCGGAAAAGAAAAAGTGAAAAAGTGAGAAAGGTTGCTGCATCACCAAATCATTTCTTCTTTAACATTTAGGACAAAACATTTTAATGATGTCCATCTCTTGGTCAACTTGCTGAAGTTCAGAGAGACAAAATTGTATTTTTTTAAGTCTTTTTGTAACTGAAATAAACGAGTTCTTTCCAAATGCCTCGTGACGTTTGAAGAAAAATGCCTTTATCCTCGCAAAAGCAGGATGGTTAACCATAAAAATTTACCGGTTTAGGAATAAACTGATGTAAAACAGACATATATCTAGTTGGGTCATTCCCACACATTAGACGAAAGCTTTCTTGAGCACCAAAATGGACCCGAGAAAACCGATTCAGGAAATCGGTTAAAAAACAACCGACCACAGTGAGTGCGAACTTTTCAAAGTCGTTAAAGGATGACATCACACAAATCTATTTTTAACATTTTCTAAACATTTTGAATTGGAATCGAAGTTGAGAGAGCATCATGATAAAAGTATGAAATCATTTAAAGGCAATCCATAGTTACTAAAGCGGCTTAACCTACCTGTCAATCAATATAAGCCAATTAGCCAATCCATAAGAGTGTGAGTGATATCACCCTCGCTGATTGGCCAATTCTTGATTGACAGTGGTTGAAGCCACTTAAGTATCTGTCGAATTCCTTTAAGATGTTCCAAATTGACTGAGATATGGCTTTCTTTTGCTCGGTATATGTAGTATAAATTCTTAATCTCAAGTACCTGTGCCTTGATGCTATGCGAAACAATCAACGAGCTGGCATTTTTGATAGTCTGTATAGCCGTTGCTCCTTCCCTGCTTCCAACAACATCCAAATAGCTGTTTTTCCAACAGTGGATCCAGACCTCATCTAGGGCAGTAATATACTTCAGCATATAAGGAAAGCCATTTGTTTGAATGCTGCTCACTGGCTTGGCTTCTTTAGCGTCCAGGACGATAACGCGGTTCCCATAACTGTCTGCCACAAACACGAATCTACCTGGAACAACAGCTGCGCCTCCCCAGCCGCAAGCGGATTTATAGCGAGGGCTTCTTGTGCAGAGAGGTTTGTCAGTGCCAGGAACAGCCATGTCATGTGGAAGTCTTTTAACGACATTCAGGTTTTTCGCATTGATAATGTCAATGCCATTGTCAGTGAGAGCGTAAAACACCTAGAAAAAAGGCCACCGCTTTCAATTGTAAACTCACCGAAACCGAAGGTTGCTTCTAGAAAAGGGGGTTTTGCATTCTTAGCAGATCAGGTTTTAATTTAACGTGCCTACAGGCACGAACGTGCCTCGTCGACCAAAATACGTGCTTGTCGGTTTGAATGGCGCGCCTCGACTTTTCATGCAGCTCGAACACTAAATGTTTCGTGGTTATGATCGCTGATATATTCCATACTGTTGCAGAAACGGCCAAATATAACGAAAACATAGGAAGACAAATCTCAAATACACTCTTTTCTTTTTATAAGGACAATTTTATAAGAACAAGACTGAGCTTCTGCAAAATGCAATTCGGAACAACGTTTTATCTCAAAAATGAGGGTTTTTGGTCATTGTGTGGGTGCTTTTTCGGCGAATATTAAAACTTGTCGGCAAATGAAGGTTGTTTCACTCACTTTGTTGGCAGCTGAACACCTCCCCAGCGCGAAAAAGCTAGCAATTACACTGCTTACACTCTATTAATATAAGCAAAATTTAAGAACAATCCAGCCTCAGATTTTCGAAAAAGAAATAAGAGCAGTCAGCCTGAACTTAAAATTACTGGTTCTTATAAAAAAGAGTGTATACAAACTGTCATTCAAAAGCACAGTTTTAGTTGAACAACGTGAATAGTTGTAAGGTTACACTGCGATACCCAACAGCAGCCTGGGCCCAAGTACCAAAGTCTAAAACAGCTTTTTGTGATGTTTTAAAACTAGAGCCGCATCTTATTCTAATCAGCAGGTCAAATTACACCAGGAAACAATGATGGCTTAGTATTTTTTACTCAGTTTTGCAAGACCTTTTTGATAAAATTATCAGATTTGAAAAATTCTAAGGTCAAAATTTTGCTGACCAGGCATGTTTCACGCTTTCTGAAACATCACTTCTTGAAACAAGACTTAAAATGATCAGTGGCCTTTACTTTCATGACTCAAACTTTAAAAATTTCGGTTAGGCAGTTTGATAGATGGTTATGCAAAATTCCCTGTTTCTTATGCAGGGTTATAAACGAAATTACGGACTTGTCGTCACATTTAGCTAAGCAGTGCTCGTCCAAAAACCGTTAAATTAATCCCTGTAGCAGATTGGGGGTATCTGTAGTTGGGATATCACCAGAAACAAACACCAAATTGTAACGTTTTGCCTAGAAAAGTGCGCACTGTGGTATTTCAAGGATTATGTATTGGGTATAATTCGATGTCTTGTGTTTACAAAGAAATTTGTGATGGATGCAAACATCAGGATGCTTAGAGCTGAGACAGTTTTATACATCGACGTTTAAAATAACTGCGAAGGTGCCTTGTCTCTCCACCTGCACAAACAGCGCCTCAAAGCTACAAAGAGATAAGAAACGAGTTCATACCCCTGATGACTCGGCTGAAGCAACCAACAAGACGGCAAAAAGAGCTACCGCGTACATCTTTAAACCTAGAAAACAAATAAAATCCAGTCAAAGCTGCAGAATAACACACACAAAGGCGAAAAATTTCACAAGAAAGATCGATTGCTGAAGTCGAAAGTTGCGCTTCAGTTCAAGCCTGACGTCAATTCCGTTTCCCTTGGCCAAAAAATTCAAACATCGAAAGCAATGACTTACCTGTTCTATCTCGGTCCAGCTTGTGAGTTTGTTTTCACGAGCTCTGAGCTGTATTTATATCAAAGTTAACAGGAAGTAAATAAAAATATCATCTAGGAAGCAAATCTTTGAATGACTAAAAACTTTTGTCCCAGAATCCTGTGGTCAGGAAGACAGCTATATGAAACCTTGCGTTCATATTTCATTGTTCGTTGCCTTGGTAAAATGTTGCCTCGTCACGTATAATGTGTCCACGGTCTTGGCGTTCTCCAACATCTCTTACTTTTTCCCAGATTGCAAAGGCATAAAAACTGAGATGATCATGAACTCAAGTTCAAAACATATATCGACCTCATAGAGCTCAAGTCTCTTAAATAAATTCTTCCTAGCTATGGGAAATAATTTATTGCTTTCCATCATAAAAATGTGTTGCTTTCCATTTTCACGTATCTGCGATGGAGTTTAGAAAGAAACCCCCGACTGCCCAAGGCAGTTTTTAGAGCGGTGTCCTCTACCCTGCCCCCTGATATGTAACTGACTTAGAATTGTTGAGGTCCTATCTTGGCGGAAAGCCATCTACTCGAATTTCCAGGAGCAGAGACACGTAAACAAGCTACAAGGATACCAGGAGTTGCTTTTTTGGAACTGAAAAAAGTTCTGCAGTGTGCGACCCTCTACTAAATCTTTGAAAATGAAAGGCGCAGTCAATGGGGGATAGTGTTGTGAAAACTGAATTCTGCATTTCACTAACATACTTGCAGTTTTTTTTCAATTGTTTCTTCTAAAGATTGCTTGGCCGGTTTCAGAATTCACATTTCGGCAACATTAAATAGCAACCCCAGTACCTGTGTCATACAGGAACCGGTGCCTGATTTTTTCGATTAGATACGGGGGCTCACAGGGGTCTTAGGGGACAAGGTTACTTTACAAAATGGTATGGGAGAACGCGGACGTTGGTTGTTTTTCATAGGAACATGTACCCCCTGGGAGACATTCATAGAAAGCACGTGCACAGCCAACATTCATGCAACAGGACAAAACACGTGATCTTCGCGAACTGTATTATTTATCTCAGACGAAAATCTTCCGGTTGATCGGAAATTTTGCAAAGCATCAACCTTATTAAGCCTTCCTTGTTCCGAAAAACAATCTCAGGTCTTCTGTAAATTTAAACTTTTATTTAATTTGGACATGTTTATCATAAAGTCCTTTTTGGTCTACAATCGTACTCTCCGGAGAAAGGTTGGACAGTAACTTGCACGGGGTGGGTTTCACAACTTCACATAATCCTTTGGACATGCGTGAAAACTGGCTTAGATCAGGGCCTTAATTCATTGAAAGCTGGAATGTAGTTTTGAATGACAAAGCAGCAGATGACAAAATATATCAAAGTTTCCTTCTCAATCAAATATAAACAGTTTTGAATGTTTACTGAATAAGAAATTTTGGTTAGAAAGGCTGAAATTTAGGCACAAGTTTGGGGGTTCAATGTCCGAAATTTGGTTCTCCTGCGAAAGGGAAAATTCTTGTCACCAACAGGCCTACATATCTGTATTCATGACCTTATGCACTCTGCAACAGACCACCTCGGCATCGCGCACTATTCTGCAGCTGCCTTAGTTACTTGTTTATATGACCCATGCTTCTATAAAATCGTGGATGAAAATAAACGTGAAACAACATGGAGACATATCATCAGAAAAAAGAGAAAATGCATTTAAAATCCATCTCGAATCTCATAAACGTGGCAATAAGTTGGCATTACTCATCGCAAGAAGAAAGCTTTCTGCAATTCTTATATACGTCTTTAAGTCTCTTTTTACAGATGTCAACAAACCTGTCTACGAGTAACTAATTTAAAAGTGTAATGGGGGTGAAAGGGAACTAGGCGTAGGCCACAAACTTTGAAAACATTTCACTTTTTACTGGAACTTCGGTACAAAGGAAGCCTTGTATTCAAGGTTTCTTCTAGAATAACACAAAAATAGTATCTTTAAATATAGAGACAAGCTCTTTGAATTGTAGATTTTGTAAGTCTAAACATGTAACGGTAGATGTGTTTATGCACAGGCAGATCTTCCACTGTTTTCCGTTTACATACTAAAAATAAAATATATCCATTTTGCAAAGATCACTTTGCAGGCAATGTCGTGACATGCTTTAAAAGGTTCGCAGGTAGCGACCAAAAACGATATAGAGAGTAGGCTAGTTTTTTTAAAAAAGTTTCAAACAATTGCCAAAGTTGGCTTGACGCTGTGAAGTACGAACGATATTATTCTAAAAGACACCAATAAAACTGTAGCAAAGAGAACGAACTCAAACCCAAATGCAAATTTAAAAAATCGACGTGAGTGTTCTTTCCCACCACGAAGCTACAACGCACGTGAAAGTAAAACAGAAGATTTGAATAAAGCTTTTGGGTTGAAAGCACCAAATAATTGTAAAGCTAAGTATAAATTAACATAAATTAGCATAAATTAACCTAAATCGTATCCTAGATCAACTGGCCACATCAGCAGTGTTACTGTCTGAGGGTTTTTTTCGCTTTCTTGATAGTTCTTCTAGACACGCCGACACGGCGGACGACGCTTCCGAAGCAGACATCGCCGATGGCACAAGCCTCGTCTCATAGGTCAGAATTACCCTGCAGAAGAAATTGAAGAAAAATTTAGAAAATGAAGCAAAAATATAATAAGAACCTTAGATCATTGTATTCCGTATTTACGAGACATTTCATCGTTCTCACCCTTGATTCTCCGATTCCCCTTAACTTCCCTTAATTAGAGACAAAAACAAGGCCAGTCTACTTACTTTCTCCCATGCGGTGAGTTACGAGCGATATTCCGGAGTATAAGCGCTGCAGTAAGGCGGACGGTTCGAGTAACCGGTGATTCGTCTTCTCTCTAAAAAACAAGGCAGAGCAAATAACATCAAAACGTAAAACATTATCTTGGGTGTGTCATCTTCAGAAATCAAAATTTCATATCAATGTAGCAGCAAGTTCAGAAATCAACAAACAAGAAAACCTGATTTCCTTCGTTCTAAGTATCCTCTAACGAGCAATAGCCGTGACTCTGCTAACACAAAACAATTCTTAACACTTTCTACAAATGACAAGTTGGTAGCCATGAAAAAGACATGATTTCAGTTAACTAATGCTATAACCCCACTGGTCGTTTTCGAGCTAAAAAGAAAACTCAACGCACGGCCATCTTAAAGGCATTACCATAAATCTGCGAATCGCCCCCTCGAAAAAGGCTCCCCCCCTCGAATAAGCCCCCAACCTAGAACTACAAATTGTCAATAAGCGCCCTCCCCCTTGAAAAAGCCCCCAATGCTGCTATAAATCTTCGAATTGGCCCCTCTCGATTTGTCGATTGTTGCTTTCTAAGGTTGCCTTTGATGTTTTATCGTATTACCACAAAAAAACATACTTTTGGTAATAATTAATTGAAATTTAATAAAGAAATTCCCACTAAAATATACGAGGTCTTTCATTGATGTCTTCTTGAAGTCTATTATAATTTTATAGGCCCCCCACGAACAAGCCCCCCTTGAATAACCCCATCAAAAAACCCCAGGGGACTAATTCGAGGATTTACGGTATGCATAGAAACAATTTCCTGTACAAAACCTATAAATCATTAGACTGCTTTCAGATCATGGAAATCCAACTCTTGAGCATCTACCCCACCCCACTCCCCTCCCCTCCCCGGTAAAACTATAATGTTCTCGAACAACTGTAGCCAACAAGCTCAGGCAACCGTACAATAGCAACTCAATCCAAAACAGTATTCACCCTTACCTCAATATCAACAACTTTTGGAAAGAGCAACTGTGGTAAGGTCACCTGCTCATCATCGTGAACGGTAGACGTATTGCAGTGAACTTGCTGTAAAAACATGAGGTAGAAAGCTGTCATTAGTCAATTTATATTAGCAGGCAATAGGATTTTTTGAATCAATAACAGGAAAGCAGAGATTTGAGAATGAGACTGCAAATGAAGACAACCTACATCGTAAAATTCTTGCTAATGGTAGGTGAATAGTTTCTGACTGTAGAATGAAATCTTACTCACGTTGAAATGACAGATCATTGATCCCCGTGGCCTCTGAACAGGTTTACACCCAGCTACTTTGCAGGCCTTCATGCTACCTTCTTGAGGGGCGTGACTGAACACCATGTGTGCAAGCAGGTCATTCGAGGTGGCAAAAGAGCTGCAAGGAAAGAAAATTGTGTAATCATTCAAACAACAGAAAATGGCCGCTGCAAAAAGTCCCATTAAATCTTACCTATGATTTCATTACCGTAAATCCACGAATTAGCCCCCTGGGGGCTTATTTATTTTTGATATTTTTGGACGGAGGCTTATTCGAATGGGGGCTTATACGGGGGGGGCTTATAAAATTATTGGGGGGGGGGGGGGGGCTTATAGAATTAAAAGACCTTGTTTATTTTAGTAGGAATTTCTTTATGAGCATTTAATTAATTACTACCAAAAGTACGAGTTTGTCGTGGTAATTCAATAAAACGCCATAGGCAACCTCAGATGGCAAAAACCGTCAAATTGAGGGGTCCAATTGGAGAATATACTGTAGCAGTGGGGGCTTATTCGAGGGGGGGGCTTATTGGAAATTTGTAGTTCTAGGGTGGGGGCTTATTCGAGGGGGGCTTATTCGAGGGGGGCTTTTTCGAGGGGGGGGGGTGGCCAATCGAGGGGCGGTATCTATCTAGAGTCATGAGAACATGATGGGAGATCAACACTTAATGATATCAATTGCAATGGCCTTCATGAACAAAGTTTCGGTTGAGCGTAGCATCAGACGCTTTAAACAGCCTTTGAATTAGTCGAAAAGAATCCAAGAAGACAAACAGCTTCATGTGACAACCCTTGATATGCGGCAGGAAACCTGTTATTTCAATTACCAAGCTTTCAACAACGAAGTATGGAACCCTTTAGTCGACAAAAATAATACAAAAAGGCACAGAAAAACAAAAAAAATTACCCTTTACAACCAGACCACTGGCACTTCCTTTCTCCTTGTCTCTCCTTGTCACTTTTGCTATGTTCCTCTGACGTGCTCAGTCTCTGATGACCTTTTGACCCCAAATCTTGCGATACTTGCTCTTTGGAATTCCGTTTTGTATCTTCGAGAACTTCACCTTCCAAATTGTTCACATTTCTATCAAGGCAATTTACATTTTTATCTTGCCCGGCAATATTTTCATTTTCAGGGATTTCCGCAATTGCTTTTTCCGTATCGCTTTGTTCTAGATCGCCAATTTTCAGTTCTTTGCTACTTTGACCTGAACCTGTCTCCTCCACAATAACCCGGCGCTGAATCCTAGATGCGTCATCAGTTTCCAAATGACCCGGCTGATCAGAAACATCTTCACTATGATTGGTGTCCATTTCTTTAATATCAACGTTTTCTTTGCAGTTATTAACATAAACTCCATTTAATTTTAGTTTTTTGCTATTTTTTATTACTGAGTCGTACTTACTGTATAAAAAATCATCCAACTTGTCATGTTCATTGTTTTTATCAATACCAATATCGTGCAGTCGCGTATTCGTTGTGTCGGCTTTTTGAATATCCTCAAGCTTCCTTTTCAGACTCGTTTTCTCATTATCCCCGTGGCTTTCTTCTGTGCAGTTTGAAAGTCCCTTACCAACCGAACTCTCACGGTCGCCATTAACAATCTTTGTCAAATCGTCGTCAGTAAACCGAATTTCAGAAACATCCATATTTTTACTAACTGCATCTGGAAATTTCGTAGAATTATCTTTAAAATTGGAAATTCCATTTACCTTACCGTTAACTATAACGTTCGTTGGATTATAACTTTCCGATAACTGAACCTCGTGTACAGAAGACTGAGGGCCCTTACCAGTCGCTCCTTCCCGTTGGCCATTTACCAATGTCGCAGCGTTTTTAAGCTCTGGGCTGGCAGTTCCGTTAGATGTAACAGTACATGGAGTTGAACTTAACCCAGAACTTAACGACCCCATAATCCCGTTAGTTATAGTTGCATTTATCTTTGACGTAGAAATTGATGACTCCTCTCCAAGGATAATGTTTTCGTTATTTACTCGCGCTAATGACGTCATCACAGTCGTATTTGACATAGCAACATTGTCTCTTTTGGTTATGCTTGGGTGTGCAGTGTTCTGGACGGGTGTTGGTGAAGACCTTACCTCTTGTGTAGACTGCAGTGTTCCTTGCGGCGGTACTGCCACCATTGGCATAGTAAACAGTACTGCTTGCCCCCCAAAGCCAGAATTCGGTAAACTCTGTGCTGCTGAACTCTGTATATTTGACGGTGCTGAAGTGGGCGGCCTGGGTAGGATTGGCGTGTTGTAAGTGATAGCGACAGACTTTTGTAAAACCTGAGCCCCTGCTTGTTTGACCGGTGTTGCTGTCTGAGGATTTAGGGCAGCCGACCCTGTCATTACCATATGAGCCGGTATCTGTGAAGTTTGTATTTGCACTGGCGTGTTGGCTGCTAACAGTCCTACTTGAGTTGTGGCAACACCTTGCATAGCCTGGTTTACTTGTGAACCATCTTCTGCTGCCTTTAATTGCGAAGGAGCGACACCCTTGGATACATCCGCGCCACTTGTTGAGGAAATGCTATTCACAGTGGCTGCCATTGGTTGGTTAACTGCTATTGCAAATGATTGCATCTGCTGAATACCTGCGACTGCGAGAGACTGTGCACCATTCCCAGGTTGCATTGCAGTTAACCCATAAGCAGCTGGTGAATTTTGCAACTGGTTGGGGAGGTTGGCAGGCATGCTTGTGGTTGACGGTTTTTTGGGTACTCGTGAGCTCTTTGGTGTCTTTGGCATATTCAGAGCCGCCGATTCGCTACTGGTATCAGGTACTGCTGCAGTAGGGTCTTTTAGTTTCTGTTCTTGTGTAAGCCTAATTTTCACTTGCTGTAAAAGTAATTGCAGTTGCTGCAGCTTTTGATAATGGGCCTGCATCTGAGCATGATGACTGCGCACACGAGTGTTTATATCATCCATCACGTTCTGGGGCAGTTTGGCCTGCTGGTTTTGCAATACTAACTGCTGCAGTTGAGCTTGTATCGCTTGTATGCTTTGCTGATGCACATGAAACTGCACAAAATGCTGCTGCATCTCCTTTTGTATACGCTCAGTAAGATTCTGGCATTGAGTAAGCGGATCAAGGTTTGAAGCTCGAATATCGGCATTGATCATGTCTCTTGCTGCTTTCATTGCCTTCTTTCGTTCATTCTTTTCTTTCGCGCTCAGTTTCTGCTGGGATTTTAGCTTCATATTACTGTCAAGGATGTTCCTTGATTGACTGTTCAACTCTGGACTAGCAGCCACTGTCAGGTTAGTAACGACCCCCTGATTCGACAACAAAGGACTCTGCGATGTTTGATTTACATTTCCCAATAAAACGTTGCTTGTCTCTTGTGGGACGGTTCCGGGTGCCGATTGGACGATTCCTGGAACTTGTAGTTGTGCTGTTCCAGTATGACTGGGAGTTAACTGCTGTACTGTAGCAACACTAGGTGTAGCATCTTTGTCGCTCGATCCAGCATTACTTTTTGGCGTTGCACTGGATGGGGGATCCTTACCTTGGCCTTGCGAGTTGACGTGCTGCTCTAGCAATCTCAGTGGTATTCCCTGGTTGGCACTAGTTACGGGTGCCATTGACTGTGGTGGAATTTGAGCTTTGGAAGGCAGGGAAGTTTGCACCAAAATGGGCCTAGGGAGCTGCTGTTGTCCCTGTAAAGGACTGGCAGTGCCATCTTGTGCTCGAAGTAGATTACCTTGAATTGATTGGGGTTTCAGCAACAGCGCTGGGCTTCCTGGCATCACGGGTATCGGACGAATTGGCATTGATTGTTCTCTACGCTGTGAAGAAACATCCGGAATCCGAGCAGAAGTTTTGGAGCCTTTGTTTTTTACGAGAAGGGGGTTTGCTCTCCTTTTGATGCCGGTGATGGTTGGATCGTCTCTGTTTGCCTCATTTGGGCGCCAGTATGGTGCAGGTATGACGAGACTGAAACAATAAACACAACGTATTGTTACTTGAACGTAGTATATAGATAATCAATTCAGGAAGTTGAGAGTTTAAAAGATCTGACAAATATAAAAAAGACCTTTTGTCGTGCATGCAATCCAAACCAAAACTAACTTTTGTCTTTAAGATATTATTTTAGAGAGATTAAGCTATTCAATGATTTAGGGAATACCTCGGAGAAAGCAAAAATTCAACAAAATCTACCTACCCAAGAATCTTGAAGAAGTTTTGAGCATTAAGAACTCCTTTTCTACCGATTTCCTTGCAAGATTCGATGTAATCAGAAAAGACCTGTGATCTTTGAATCTCGGTGCCTGGAGCAAGTTCGTAATAAGCACTTATCCTGCAACGAAGAAAATAAATATTATTGGCAGCTACTATTTATGTCAACAAGAGCATCAAAGATGGGAATTAAGCAGCATTTCTTTATTGTGTCTCTATTATTGTGTTACATTGCAACGTTTTATCTTCCAAGACACAAACAATTAATAGCTTGATGGGGACAAGTAATACAATTCTTTTAGAATTCCTTCAAGTTCTAAACTCTGGGAGGATGTGATGGTTACGTTACAACGTTTTCTAATCGAGTGTACAGGCAACCAGAGTAAAAAAACTCATTTAGAATTCCTTTAAGTTGCAAACTCGCGGAAAATGTGATGGACAAGCAAAGATCAAAGAACTCACCATCTTGCAGCAAATATTTCTGGCTCAACTTCTTCATTTTCATCTGGTTTTGGAGGTTCTTGCCGCACAGGGAGAAGAGCTGGGACAACTTGGCTTTTTGGAGAAGAACGCACTGCAAACAAGTTTTATTGATATCTGATAACCATAAATGCATAGTTATATTCATCACAATAAAAAATACTTTTAACTGTACATACATCTTACATCAAAGAAGGGTATGGCCATCATATGATAAGGTAAGATCGTAAAAAGGTTATCCTTGGCAAATAAACGAATGGGAAGATAAAAACAATAAGGATAAAGACCTTTGCGACAAGAAACACAGCTTTGAGTTTTGCTAATGAAGGACACATGGAATTACAGAATATTCTTTCGAGCTGCAAATTTAAAATAATTTTGGGCACGAAAAGAACGGAAAATTTTGGGCAAAAAATTTTGTGTCAGTTCAATTTTGCCACCAGAGTCAGTTCAACCAGGGTTTTGCAGAAAACAACCCATAAGAGTGATTACCACAAGAGTGATTACCATAAGAGTGATCACCATAAGAGTGATTACCATAAGAGTGATTACCATAAGAGTGATCACCATAAGAGTGATTACCATAAGAGTGATCACCATAAGAGTGATTACCTTGCGGAATCCCGGCTTGTTGAACTACTGGATGCATTTGGGTATAGCTCCGTTGCAGCTGCTGCACAGCTACGTTTCTTTGCAGATTCTGCTGCAGCGCAGCGTGCTTTTGGGCGTGTAACGAGTTCTTGTTTTCAACGATTCGAAAGCCAGTAATGGCTCTGTTGCCATACGATTCTGCGTGTACTGTCACCAAACATACCAAAATATCTAAATGGAAAACGAATATCTAAATAGAAAATTGATATTTGGACAAAAAAAACAAATGTTGAATATAGTTGTGTACATTGCAGGCAAGCAATTTCAAATTAAACTCCTTTCTACTGCATATCTCATATTTAAATCACTCCCAAAAAAACCTAATAAATCATCATATCAAAATCACCTTTCTAGTATTCCTTTTCGTTTCAAAAAGAATCTAGCAAATTAAGGGATCTAACAAATTAATTTTTTCTGTAGCTTTTTCTGAGTATAACAACAAATACAATCGACACAGGATTTTCAAGAGACATATAGGGTGAATCCTCTCTTTCACACCCCTGCTTGATTAACCTCTCTCTATTCTCTCTAATAAAGCCAACTTCTATCTCAGCTGTATGAAAATGACGCCCCTTTATAGCATACAAAACAATCACCTTTTTACTTACATCTTCCATTAACATGTTATAACACTTTCCTGATACACAAGGATAAACACAAAAATGAAGAACTTGAAGACGAGTATTTTATTTACCGCCACTACTTTTAAGAGCTAGAACTTTGTAACATCCGGGTGATAAATAGAAAATTTACCGAAGATCAGTGCATTTAAACTACACTTTGAAATTCACTTTCTTACCTATGCTTTTATAAACCATTACTATCGCAGTAGCTGTTGCTTCACCCAAATCAGATAAATAGTACAGTGCATCTAAGGCGTTCAGGATCAGCTAAAACAAAGATGATTGGCGATTTTGAGGCAAATTGTTGAATAGATTATCTGTTCCTTGCAAGGGGAGTTGATAATGTTAACTTTTGACTAATGATAATGTTAGAGGAGCTGAACTTCAGCTAAAACAACTCTGCCTAGATATAAGGAGACAATAAGTGTAGCACGATTTAGGCAATTTCTATGGTTTGGAAAGGGGTGATGAAAATATAATCAGAAAGATATGTTAGGAGTCGCATTCATATTTGTGGGAAATGCTTCATGGGCAAAGATTTTCACATGGACAAGATTCTCAGGATTTCAGTTGCATTTGGACTTTAAAAGGTTGATAAATCTACTTAAAGATAATTGGTATCTAAACTGCGAAGATAATTAACATTGGAGAGAGAAAAATACCTACAAAAAGTATATATATCAAAGATAAACTGTATAGGCGAAACTATCAGCTGACCAATTAGCATAGATAAGCATGGCGTGAAACAAAGCAAAAAAGAAAAAACCCAGTTGGATACCTGAATATCTGGTATTGTCAGGCATCTGATAAGTTCTTCATAAAAATAGTCAGGTATAGCCTCACTCAAAACATCTTCATTTTCTTCATGGGAGCTAAGCTTTGCGAGAATGCTGATGGCTAAATAGGATAAAATTTCATTTTAGAATCGGCATTACCGACTGCTTGGTGTGATCAAAATAAAGAAAAAGTTTGTTGTATAACTAACTGACGAGAATAAAATAGTATTGCCTTTTAATGTCTATTTGCTTCAATGACTAACAAGTTAATGAGCATTCAGATTAAGCAAATATGTTTAATTATACAAATGAACAGCTGAAGCTCGTTAAGGACTAAAGACAAACAGGCTGTCTGCAAAAAAGGGGTGTCTACGTCACTGGGAAATTATGAACATAGCATTAAAGAAAAATATAAGTCACTGAATATGAAAATAAAATTCATACTATACTTAACCTCCTTTGAAAAAGAAAAGGGCCTAATTTACCTCCAGTACTATTTAATCTTAATGAGTTCTTTTTGCTTAAAGAAACATAGAAACTTTAAGACAAGAAATATCTTTAAACAAACCTCGAACTTTTCGTTGGCGATCATTTGAAAAAAGAAAACTCTGTAGGACTCTGAGCTCTTTTTGAGTTTCATCGTCTTGAATAATGTTCAGAATAATCTGAAATGTTGTAAGATTTAATTAGCAAGTTGGAAGGAAAAAAGGAATCTTTATAATACTATGTTCTCTAAACAACAAAGTCCATATCTTAGAGAGAGCAGAAACAAAAAAGGCCACATTGTTAGCTCCAAAAGCCTTTCCAGCTAAATTACAAGACCTCTGCGCAGTTACTTGTTATTATAATACATTTGCAGGTGTCTTCACTGCATTAGTTAAAAAGATTTCATATATTTAACTGCCTTCCTGCTCTCTTTGTGCAATAAAGTACCTGTTCTCAAAACATTCTCAATAAGTTCAGCAGAATAGACTGACCTTATCAGCTAAGTTGTCCAGTGCATCGAGTGCTGTTTTTCGCAAAGACGTCAGTTTTGACCCAGCACAAAGTGTGAGAAATCTGCAAAGATAAAATTTTTTTAGATCCCTTATCGGCAACCAAAAAAATTGCACAACGTAATGTAGCTTTTATAACATATTCGGTTTCTTAAAGGGGCCTGTGCAACGTTAGTGCTTTGCGGGCGCGCAGCGCCTCGTGAAGGAAACAAGCAATCTCCTACAAACATGCAGGGGAAGCCAAACAAAGGTATTAATTGAAATTTTGAAGGCAAACAATGGGTTCTGTCGACACGCATAGCTGAGAACAATAAAAGATCAATAGATCATTATAGATCAAAATCGTCACAAAACAACAACAATAATATCACATATTGTGATGCGTACGAACGTGATGCGTGGAATATGAAGCCGCGCAGCGCAAAGTTCCCCAACAAAAGTATTGCTTGAGGAGAGAAGGAAAAGCGTCACGAAAACTTCCTGCTGCAGGGTAGCCATCTTAACTTCTGATAATCAGAAATTATTGATCACGGGGAAACAAGACATATTTGCGGTCGCAGAGCATTGACGTTGCACAGGGCCCTTTAAGGTTTCTCGAATCTAGCAATTATATAGCAAGTTTGCCAAAAAGATACTGAGACAACCTAGAGACATTAAATTGGATAACCCAAGAGAGAGGCTATCGCGTCAGGATCTGGGACAACTGTGAGAAGGCCATGATAGAAAGAGACAGTATAGGAAGAATGCAAGTGGAAGTACCAATGCAGAAGCTTTGGTGGACATTTTTACAGCATGAGAACTATACAAGCACTTCATAGTAGACAAGGAAGATCTTAGAAAACGATTGCCAAATTCTGGGGTAAAGAGAGTTTAGGAAATGATCGAAAAATCATTAAATGCAGAGCAGAACAAAGTACAGGAGACTTACAGGGCAGGCAGCAAGATCGCGGACCTTGCTGTGCAATCAGCCACTTGAAGGCTGGCAATAAAAGGCTTGATGATACAGTAAGCACCCAAAAAAACAACAAATGATAATGGCGCAAGATTTGCGAACTAACTTTGGAGCTTCAGGCTACCCAACTTAAATTGCTCGAAACTGCACGAGGATGACTTAATAAAGGTGACCGCGAGTCATAACAAAGAGAAGCATTAATAAAACAACAGGATTTGAAATTCAAGCCCGTAATGGTCTAGAAAGGTGCAAAAAATCGGCAAAGGGTAAATTATATACCTACCTTCTACAAGTGAGGTGTGAAGCAATGAACATGCAGTTCAACTCTTCATATGAAAAATTATGCAGAATCACACATATCTAGAGCAAGGAGAAAGAATCGATTATGGTCAAACATAATGGAATATTGATATTTCCAATTATACAATACATCGGGTGCGATTGGTAAATACAAAGAGGGCAAGGGAATGGATTCTGGTCAATCTAAGCGACAATTGAACAGGATCTAGTGGCGAATTTTGCACTAAAAGTACTCTGGTGGAATAACAACCCTGTAGCACTTAGAGCTTTGATAGATATCTTTAGATACCTTTAGAATAGAGCTTTGATAACTCAAAGCTTTTTTTGTTTGATTCTCCACAAGGAATGAAACGTGAAAACCACAGCGGAACGTGAAATACCTGTGTTTAATTCCTCGAGCGAATAAACAAAGTTTTTGATGCTAGCTACAAAAAGCACAAAAAATGACACGTACGATTTTGATAAAGAACAGACCTAAGCACACTGTAACTTAAATTTGATGAGGTCATATTAGCGAGCTCTGCGTTCGATCTTTGAGTTTAGAAATTCTATGAAATTCTTTAAGAAATACGGACAGGTAATTAGCCCTGGCTAAAATTTGGTTACCACAATTCCAGATAGAATGTAATCCATATAAAATATTGTCTTGGCTTCAATGAGGAGCACCACGTGACCAACCGCATTAACCAATCCGCTGGAGGCTAACTTCGTTAAAAAAACCGATACACTCGTGTTTCTAATAATGGCAAGCCTTAATACAAACTTTTGGTTCATAAATGCGGATAAGCCTAATGAAATAGGATACCTGATTAACTCTTTTTGCTTCGACCGATTCAGCCAATTTGCTTGTATTCGGGTTGAATAGATTTACTAAGTCATCAGCCGGGGCAGCTGCATTGCAACCTAGAGCAAGAAGAGTTTGGTTGGGATAGAAAAACTTTTATAAGGAAAAGGGGAAACTAAGCAGGAATGGTTTATATGTAGCAGGGCAAGAAAATGTCATCAGCTGATACAGGTGCTGAAAGAATCAGGATAGGCCATCAAGGAAGCGAGGTACTTTGATAAATGTTGATGGAGCTGGAAAAGGCATCTGGGTTTCTGATTTATGACAAAAAAGAACTCTTAAAAATAAATTTTGTCCGAATTATAAAAGTTATGAAAAATTTGCATGAGCAACGATCATTGTAAAAGAAAACTGTTATTTTTGGAAAAAAAACAAAAGTTTGAACTATCAGGAAGTTGAATTATCAGATTTTTAAACTGCATTCTACAATTGAAACAAATGTCAGCTTTCAATTCATTTTACAAAAAAAGTCCATTTGCCGTTTGGTACGACACGCATAACTAACCACATCTCGTTTGAACTAGATTCTTCAATAGTCAAACAAAAAACAGAACATAAAGATAATTTTATGAGCACGTCTCTTAAGACACACCATGGATATACACGTAAAAACTAAGTAACGATAATACAGTTAGCAAATAAATTTAGTACCAGAATGAAAATAAAATTGTTTGATTGTAAAAACTAAGTGCCTGGGTTAGTACGCAGTTTCTTAAATATTCGGGCAATTTTGCTACCAAAGTTTTTCACGTACTTCCTCAACTTTTTAGATAATGAGTTTCTTAAAGCGTGCTTTCGAGGGGCTAAAAATAGTTAGATTTGAAAGCCAGTATTTACAGAACTCATATTCAGAAATGAACTAAGTTAATGCGTTAATTCAAACCATAATAAGGGTACACATTACAGCATTAGAACTATCATTTCGTGGGATAGAGCCAGGTTTAACAAAACAATTTATTCTATGATTTTATGAAACCAGCCTTTAAAGCAAATTGTTATAAATATAAAAATCACTTACCACACATTCCATTGAAAATCTCCTTTACAGTTTTATCGTCTATTGTTTCTTTCCAAAACTGTTGAAAATATTATTTTTATGTAAAAAGCGGTATAAACGAACAAGGGGAATTAATATAAGGCAATCTTTAAAAATGAAAAGACCTAACGACAAGACATGCAAGAAGGTTGGAGCCCCAAGTTTAATTTAGCTTTTACTTGCATATAAAAAAGAATATTAATATAAGTATTATTAACAAAAGTTTTGATTCTGTACGAAAAAGTTAGAAGAGATTTACTGGGCCTTGAGAGAAAATCTTACATCACACTACCTGTGAGCAAACTCACAGAACACATACAAAAACTGTTCGCTGCTTCCAACGTACCTTATCAAAATCGCGGTCCGATTCTTGATACCATTCTTTGTATAGTTCTCGCATTGCCGTATCCCCTGGGAAGAACAAGCTTGCTGTATACAAAATTTTATTGATACAACTAAGCATTAACATAAAAATACTTTGCACACTGTTTATCTTACTAAACTAGAGAATAATGACACTTACCTTCAGAGAATATCCCCACGTGTGCAAGCATTAGATCTACGATATTGGGCGCCTGTCAAAAGACGGAAACAGTTTAAGGTTTTCTCATTTTCACGTTTACTTCCAAAACATCTTTTGCATATTCAATCATTTTCCAACAAAATAAGGGAAATTTCCAACAACCATTTTCCACTACATTTCAACTTATTCATGGAGGATAAACACTATTTCACAAGGCATAAATGCAGAAAGTCTCTTGTATCAAAGAAAGAAGCCAGTATTTTTCTAGAAAGTAGTGAGGCAGATACTGACTGGAACTAACCGATTGGCAAAAAACAAGATTGACAATCAAGATATCACGAAAAACTAAATCATTCTTGATCAAATGTCAGATAATTGATCAAATCTGTGAAACCATATGGATTAGGATGCAAAAACTGTTTGCATGACGTAGCACAAACAGTCAGAGCCAAGTTAATGACGAAATTAGTCCCCTACGCTCAAGTGATTTAAATGCAAGATGACGTCATTCAAGGACAACCATTTTAAATGTCTTTAAATAACATTAATACATCTTTAAGTTTCACTTGACGCATCACAATAAGTGATCAAACATGGCCATTCGTAAAGCATTTGTAAATGCATAAATTAACATAATTTTAATTTCATAATGCATTTAATAAAATTAAACAAAAACAACTAAATGCAGTTTGGCATAAATTTACCTAAATAATGTTAGCCGAGTACTGAAAAAACAAGGTGGATGGACCGAGCGACAATGGACGTACCTTGGCGAGATTGAAGATTGAATTCGTGACATTTGATAACAGCGTGCAAATATTCAAGGCAAAATCCACCTCGTTTGGTAAGCCACTGACCAGTGCGAACATGAGACGATCGAAATTGTTTACTTTGGGTTCTGCAAATTCAAGGTACAAAAAATCAGTTTGCTTGAAGCTAAATCAAAAAGAGGATAAAGAACTACCTGGGCGAGTAAAGCGGTTCTGCGTGGTTAGCTAATTGTCATACACGCCAGGGAGCTAGTTGGTAAAATGCTAATCATTGTTCACCGGGGGTCAGTTTAGGCACTATTGCAAATATGACTTCCAGTGAATTTCATTGAAAATGACATCACAGCAAACATGATACCTAGGCTTTTATTACAGAAACGAAGTCTCGAAAGTAAAGCCTTTTAGCTTCGTTGCCATATATCTTAGCCTTGAAATTCTGTTACGTTACAAACACTACTGAATTTTCTGATATGTTGAAAGAAAGTGAGTTAACTAAAAATTTCATAACATCACATTCCGCAAGCGATTGACACACAACGACGAATTGTTTCTTCAGGGAAAATCATTCAATAATTCCAAATTAATCTTGTTATAAATGGTTTATCCTGCGAATTATCATAATCAAAACAGATGTAATTAACAACAGTTTATGGGATTGCCACCAGACCTACAATGTAATCCGCTTCAAAAAGGTTTGAAAATCTATTTTATCGTGGGTATATTCGGCAAAGGCGTGAAGATGTTTCAGGATAAACTGCATGAAAATCTATTAAGCGTTTTGGAAAAAACTTGGGTTTCGGTGTGAGCAAATGCTAATGGAAAACAAAACAATTCAAATTCAAATATAGGCTAACGGTTTTAGAGTAGAGGATGGCTTTTTCATTAAGTGAATGAATAATTACTTACCACCAAAAGGTCCGAGTTCAACCTTTTTCATCGGTTCTAGACGAAAAAGCAACATGGAGTTAGTTTTGTTTTAATCCAATTTGCTGGTAAATTTGTTAGGGCGAATTACTTAAATTTGCAAGAATAATACCCTGAAAATGACAAATGGTAAGAAAATATGTATACATTTCAAGAAGCTCCAGGATGCTTGTAGATATACAATGTATTGCGTGCGTACACAAGTGTTTGTTTGAAGTCGGCCTGCATTGATGTGCTATCACGGTTCGAAGGGAGAGAAATGAATTGCAGAACATGGCATTTGATGTAATTATCAGCGTTATCATCGAACAAGCAGCAATCATCGAACAAGAAATGTGCCTGCATTTTAACAGTACAAAGGCAAAATGCATTTACAGTATTTACAGTACAGTATTTATATCATTTTATCCATTCATTGCAATTAATTTAAGATTTGTAAATGTAGTATAAATAGTAGGATTTAATTAGCTGTTATATTAGCTAAAAAATTTGCTTTGCCTACTGTAAATAATTTTATAATAATAATAATAATAATAATAGTACCTTGGTAATGTGTTGGTGCAAAGTTGATACTTGACTGCTGCAGAAAAAGTGAGCTGCTAGCCCGTCGAATATCGGACGAGTTGTCATCTACATCCTCACCCAAGAAATTAAGCTTCTCATACGATGCCAAGTATCTAGAAAAATTCAGTTATGAAAACGATAAAAGACAGAACAAGTGAAAACAGGTTTGCAGCTTTTAAAGAATACGACAAGCAACTGCAAACAATGAACCACTTTGCTACAGTGAAATATGAAAAACCAACAAATGACAAAATTGCAATTTATGACTCCATTTAAAGAAAATTTATTGCAATATGCTCACTAGAATTGAGAAATTTACTGCAATCTTAAAAAAAATCAAAAAACTATCTACGTACTTAAAACTGTTGAAGGTAATGACAAATTAAGCAGACATCTAATATAGGCAGCATATCATAGTAAGTCTTGAGAATAAACATTATATGCCCCCTTTAGGTTCCTCGCCCTCCCCTAAACAAAAAACATCCCCTCTAAAATGCTGTTGAGGAACTTCATTTATTCGGATATTACTAATACAAAAAACACAGCATATGCAATTTTAGAGCTCACTTAGCCTCCCCCCTCCCCGCGAAGAAAGCCCCCATCCCTTGAGTACAGCAAAAAATTATTAATGGTATTACCTTAGGTAGTATTGACGTAAGGAAAATGCGGCATTAGTACAGCTTGATGGCAAATTGAAGCACTTGGCGACGTCTCTCCATTTCTTTTCATCGGTCACCTGCAAAAACGTATTGTATGGTCACTCAAAGTTGCCACCAGCCCCTACTCGTATTCCATAACAAAAATACTCTTGTTTTTCAGCACAAACTAGCTACGTCCGTGGAAATAAGCAGTTGGCGATACTGGAGGCCATACCCCGTGCGAAAAAATCAAAACTGCCCAAGGTGCTTACAGTCTGGCATGCGAAAAGAGCCCCTATGATAGGCCCAAGCTCTTTATCCTTCTCAATTGAAAAATTTTAAGACTTCAGTCAGGATTACCTAACACTGTCCGCTATTTACAGCCCAGCTTGACGACCCGAAAGGTCCTGTTTAAAATTCCTCAAATAAATCATTTTGTCCTCAAACATCCAATTGTTCAAATACAAGCCATGTTTGTGTGATATGAAAGGGCTACTGGTCATCAAAAGCTATTAAAAGAACAAGCAGATTCTGCTGGAATCGGCCAGCACGTTCGCTTTTATCTAAAGTAATTTTGCTGTTAACAATGTAAATTAACAACCTTATCTAATGCTTATGCTTGATTTGCTATCGATGACGTCATTTTTCACTCTTCTTTTGGAGCAAGCAAAACAAGACAAAGATAAAACTAATTTTTTAAGAACGGAAAACGTGAAATCCACAATGTTTGATTTCACACAGTGAACCAGGAAGGAAAGTGGACTTTTCATAACTTAATGCACAGAAAAATCGCATTTATCAGCTAATATGATTTCTCGTTGACTTTGTTTAATATAATCATTTCCCATTAGCAGGTACCATAGCAAATACTGTGTTCATTACATTAGCGCTAGAACGAAGCCGCAGAGAACCAATCAGGAAATAACAAAGCTTTCCATGATCAATCTCAATGTTTGGTGAAATAACACTGGCATGGTAGTGGACATGGCAAAATAACTTTCTAATGCGAATCAAAATGCAATAAAATATGTTACAAATGAAGGTCTGGATGAAAAGGATATTAAAAAGATGTTCATGATGACTTTTTAATTATAAAGGAAATTGTATATACCCTATTGAGGAACATGTTTCAAGGAATTTGGTGTGTAGAAGGGCAAATGGAGTATTTTTTAATGAGGATATCAGTCTTATGCCTTAGCAAGAGAAAATATATGATTTGTTGAAGTCATTTTCAATGCCAAAATAAGAAAATTTTTCAAAAAACTTTTGATAAATGTGGCAATAAAAAAGGGGTAATCTAGTTTACTTAATCAAGACAAGTTAGTTCATTCATATCTGATCCACCAAATTTTACTTTTAAAAATATCAGAAATCTGTGATCGCTACATTTATGACAGAAGTAGAAATAAAATGTTGTTCAACCAGTTAAAACTAATGATATTTTAATATTTACTCTTGTTCTTTGTTAACATATTTTTCTAGTTCATGAAGTAAATTATCTATTTATTCTTCTCTCTTATCCTGCAGAATCAGTTAATGTAGTTCTTAGACAGTAATTTGACTGAATTTTATACAAATTCCAACCAACAATTTCAGTCCTATTTGTGCACACTATTCTAATGTTTATGCATACTCCAGAATCACTGCAAATAACTACCCTACTGAGATTTCTAGCAAACATCTGTTGCATATGGTCTTTGTAAAATTGAACTTGTAAAACACAAGGTATATGTTATAAGACTTTTTCAAATTACGATTAAACATGCTATGAAATAAATCAAACTGTAAACTGGTCGTGAAATTCTTGTATAACAGAGCCTGTTTTTATTAAATATTTAAGGATAACTGAAAATTTTCTGAATGATTTTTATTTATGATCCTAAACAAGGAACAAAAAATCTGCCATTTCAAAATGACTTGAGTATCAATATAAAATAATAAACCTTTTGTTCTTTGTTTATGGTATCTAAAGATGACTGCACATTTCAAACATCCAATGAAAAAACATGTCACATTTTCTGTAGCTTCATTGTTTGTATTTTTCAAAAGTTTAGATTGGGATTTTCCTGCTTACAGGGAAAGATGTATTTAGAGAAAAAATATGGTTTAACTGAAGTTCTGGTAACATTTTCAGAAGTTCTACAAGCCTAGAAACCTGACACAAAGATTAAAGGAAAACAACTGCCTAACTATTCATACAATAAGCATAAGTAGCCTCTAACAACTAGAAGCAAACAATTTTCTATATTAAAAACAGAGATCTTTTTTTGCCAGAATTTCCGTACACACAATCCGAAAATTGGCAGATTTTCTGTACCCTAGTTGTCTGAACAATTCTTTATTAAAAAGTTTATTTTTTCATAATCAGAGATGGACAATAAGTGACAATGAAAATGTTACATTTGAATCCAGAATCATTAAAAAATTTAAAATCAAGTTACATAGCATTTGCTTTGTTTCCTAAAAGCAGGAGATACTTAAGATAGGTTACTGTGAATTCTAGGGTTGACAACAGACCATTAAACAGTCTTAACATAGAAAATAACACTGCTTACCTTTGAACAACCACCAAGCGAAGTAACTGTCTTGTACAATAACAACAGATCTAGTTCTTTTCCACCAAAGAATGGTACCTTCTTGAACCCTGACCTAAAGAGAAAAATGGCATGTCAAATTCCTAACACAGTGCTAGGAGAAACCCATAAATCGATCTACTTTCTAAAAAATGTTATTGGATGAGTAACCAAAATAATTGATCTAAAAGGCAAATTCCTTCTGAAAAATAAGCTTATTAAGAGAAAGGCACAACGGTACACTAAAAATCAACAAAAGGAGGCTAACACTTGTTAACTTCAAATGCTGCTTCCATGGGTCTTTTGAACTATAATAATTTAATATAAGCAAGAAATATATACATTATTGAAACTATTCATTACTTTTGAACATATTTACACATAAGTGCAATTTGTTCAAGTTAAAAGGCTTCATTTATGTAAAAGGTGTCAGATAAACGTAGATCTTGGACTATACACTTTAAAATTTCCACTGAAGGTCAAGATCACATCATAATTTCATCATTTACATTGCTTCAGTGAGTATTGAAGACAAATATTATTTTGCAAAAGCTCATGAACAAATTGATGATGATGAATTAATTAGTAAATTAGCACAAACAGAAAAGAATGGAAACATAGACTTAGTGTCTATTGATTTCTGGGGCCAAAGCTCTGTAGAATACCAACAAAGAATCATTTTTTTAAGAAATCTGTGTGTAAACAGCAACATTTAACATTGATGATTCTTCTAGAAAGAAGTTTCTCTCTTTGGGGGTCACCGTCAAAGTCCAGTAAAAACAAAGTTAACCAGGTCTAGTTTGTGATTGATTTATTTGGGAGGTCTTGAAAAAGTTGGCTTATGTACTGATGGACCTATGTATAATTTTCCAGACTTGATTCTACATGGTGGAAATCAAAGTTTTGTACCGCCAAAAGATTGTTTGAAATCAAAGTTCTTCATTAGACCAGTTAGGAAAAAGTCTTTGGGAAATTAATGTCACTGTTGTTAGTAGAAATTAAACACAGGAATTATGACATCTGGTAATATTTCTGTGCCTCTTATTGTAAAGCATGCTCATTTACAGAAAATTTTAATCAATTTTGGAACTATCAACTTTAAACTCAGGATTCTCATAAAGATCTATTTCACAGCCAATGACTGTAAAAAGCATTTGAAAAGACTTTTGTGGGGAATTTTGAAATAGCAATCTATTGTGTTGATATATTTGTTTTGCTTATCACAATCTGTTTATCAGCTTGTCTGTATAACTTTTGCAAGTTTTAATTTTATCCAGTAACTTCCTGTTCTTTAGTGTTCAAGTAAATCTTCTTAAAGTTGATTAAATCCCATTTTCAGAAACAGTACTCTGAAAATAATAATGATGAAAGGAGCTTCTCATTCAACTTTGCTTTATAACTCACTTTAAAGATGAAAGGACATTAAATGGCCATCTGTATCAAGATGAATAAAATTTTTACTTTGAGTTGATGTTTCTATGTAAAGAAACCATTCATACATAAAATAAGATGTATTCCTTCAACAAATATCCCCTAATCAAACTAACAGAATATGGGGCCTTTAATTTTATCAATAACTCATGTTTTATTAACAAACAAATTTGGATAGCCCTAAGAAAAATACGATTTTACAACAATACTTTCTGAAAAATATATTCTATACTACCAAAAACTCAATGTTTAGTGTGATTAAAAACTCTTTCATTTGAATGAATGCAAATGAGATTGGCTACCAAAATGAAGTCATAATAATGCTAAAATCAGAACAAAATACATGACAACAAAATAATAACTGATAAAGCCTAAGTGAAACATTAAAAATTGTCCAGCATAAAAAACCAACCATTAACATCATTCATTTAATCGAACAGATGACATTTGGATTAAACAAATGGTTGGACCAAGGTATAATAGTTATGATGAAATATAAAAGGTGCCAAATTATACCATCTTGACTCTTGATATTCAAATTCAGCATATTTTTTCCTTGGACACTAAAAGCTTCAAGTATTTCCCTTGTCCTAGTGAATACAAGGCTACTAGTATTTCTCAAAGAAATCATTCACTCATAAACTCTTCACCCTCTTTCACTCATTCACATTCACTCACACTACACACACATTCACACTCACTCACTTATTCACTTATTCACTCACTCATTCATTCATTCATTCATTCATTCACACACACACACACTCACTCATTCATTCACTCACTCACTCACTCACTCATGCACTCATTCACTCGCTCTCCAACTTCATTTCATTAATTCTTACTTATAAGTGGAATAATCTTGCCTTAGTTGTGGCAAATTCCTGAAACATAACAGCTAAGCTGGTAAGATACAAGTTAATGTAACCTTTATGAGACTCCTTTGACCCACAACTGGGTATATAATTTCCATCTTGATCTTTTGGAACCTTATTCTGACGTTTTATACTCTGGAGAGTGTCAGACGAAAAAGCTTTTTTCAAAGCCTTAGGCTGTGAAGTGTTTGCTTTTTTCAAAGCCTTTTTCAAATCTTGTGCCATCAAAAAATTGTGCATATACATTTTGATTCACAATCATTCTAGTTAACAAATCTGTTATATGTCTTCTTGACAAAGCATTGCTTGAACAATGCTTCAATGATTGCCTGTTTCACTGTCGTTTTAGATTGTAATTTATGTTCTTTTAGATTTTTGACAAATCAATTATGTGTCACAGCAATCAAATGTTTCTCCTTCTCCTATATATAAAGTTTATATGAATATACATTTCTCTTCATAGCTTTTTCCCTTTCTTCCCATTTTTCTCATTGCATATATTATATAATGTTTGTAGAGTTTTTAAAGTTCATTTTTATCTACAAATGTGGTCATTTAATGCACCTAACTGTAAAATTTGACTTTATTGTAACTAAATCCTCATAATAATGATATATTTTAAAATAGGACACTGAGCTCTAATGTGTCCCAGTCAAAAGTGTCTAAAGTGTCAGCATTATTCCTTGTAGCTAATTGCTCCAAATCTTGATTTTTTATAAATTGCTTATATGATATAAACCATATTAAACATGTTGCTCTTTTACACAAACTTGAATTAAAATAACATCACCTATTGATTCGATAATTGACCAACAAAACAACAGTCTGCTAATCATATCAAAATTCAACAAAAAATATTTATCTTATAGTATATATTAAATATTTTATAAACTAGAAAAACCCGAAAGGTCCTCATAAATATAATTTATATTCCTTTTCATATTCCTCTCCACAAACAATGAGCTAATTGCCTAGCAAAAATAGAAATTAAGTCTAGGATAATCCTTTTTAGCATCAACAGCTTATCATCCTGTCCAAACAAAGCAAAATTCATTGAAACAGTTTCTGCTGTGAGACTGCTTTACAAATGAGACTGAATCCCATAATATAAGATTGCTGAAATTATTCTATTGATATAAAGCTAACACATATTCCTAGGCACATTTGGAACAATGAAAACAAAACATTCTTACCCTCTACTTCCGTGAAATTTTTGTAAATTTTGAATGAAGTGTTGGTAGTCACGATTGTAATTTGCTAGGTCCCTGACACTTCTCTCCATCGTCAGATATGCTATCAGCTTCCACTACCCTGTAATTTAAAGTACTTACGATTAAATTATTATATTAAAATTACGATAAACAAAACGGTCCGGGTATTTAGTTTTGCGAGTTCGACCTGATTGACAACGACAACCCAAGTGCATGCTTGGCCACGAACAAAGCAAACAATAGGCCGTTTCTTGACCAAATCTATTTAAGTTATCAGCACGACAAAGGTAGCCATCCTGAAAAGACATTCAGATAAATTCAAGCCAAACGATATGTAGTTTTGCAAAAAACCAAAATTGGCAACGAGTAAACGCCTTCTGAAGGCTACAAAACCCACTTTCATTTCGGGAAATTCCTTTTTGATCAGGAACAGCAATAACTCAGCAAGCCATTACACGAAATAAACCGCCATTCCTGAACATACAATCTTATCCATAAACATTGAACGGAAGAAAAGGAAAACATATACGTTATGAATCACTTACATGAAAGTTGATAGTTACAACAGAAGCGAGCAGAACGAAACCTTTTAATTCTTCATATCTAGGCTTCACGAAACAATATCGACGAGCCGAAGGCGACTAGACTTCATAACACCCTTGAGGAGACAGTTTTACCACCCCGAAACCCCCCTTCACAATACCAGACAAACCACACTGTTACCCTATACGATAGGAACTTTCTGCACCCATGAATGAAACTTCTAAAACCTTGATAAGGTTAGCAAATTGAACAAAGGATCGAAACAACACAACGCTAGTTTATATTCACGCAACCAAAATCGTGCGCCTACTTACAAATGTCCGAGTAAGCCGCTTTTTGTAACATAGAGTTACAAAAACCCGAGGGTGGACAGCCTGGTATCAAAGATCATTTTGACTTGAGCATTTACCACTCGTGTGTGCATTCAATCAATGCAAATAACTATATGAAGGTTTAGTGAGTTGACCTGCAAGCTATACTTCGCTATTTGCCTTTTCTGTCATCCTCTTCAAGGAGGTCTACTGTTATTTTGTTCAACCATTGACAAACTTCATAAAAATATCATGTCCATTTTGACCAAGTAACCCCACTAGGGCGTATAGATCATAATCATAATTTACCCCCAATCCCGTCTTCTGCGATAGCCTCGTAGAAAGTTATTCTTATCATCAAAACAAATTGACTGCGAAAACAAGTCACAGTCATTCTTTCTTATTATCAAAAGCAAATTTCAAATAATTTGTAACTGTCCGACCCGCAACTTTCAAAGTTTATAAAAATAAGCAAAAAGAAATGCGTATTCACGACCTAAACTAAGATAATCAAAACTGAAATAACTTCTTGATGTAAAAATATAAAATAGCTGTTTCCAACTATAATGTTACAGAGTGGCTATCTACTGATTTTAAAAGATAGCACAAACAATTAGTCTTTAGCTTCCCTGAAAAGATGCACGACAGTTGGTTCTTTAATCTTGAATGAAATATTTTATTCATAAATTCATTTTGAATGGTGTTTCACCGAGTAACAACTCATATGAAACCTAACGTGATAATAAATTCGTTGCTACAATGCTAACAAAAACAGACATCTACACCTAAGTGTAAAAAATAAAGTGACTGCCGACCGGCCGAAAAAAGGCCTAAAAAATTATTGGCTGTGTACAAATTCAAATTTAAGATTAAAATGAAAGAAAATCTTCAAAATTTGGGTACTAGAGAAGAAACTGTAAACAATAAACTAGCGCGCACATCTTTGAAAAATATGACATTCAGCACAAAGCGAGGACATCAAACAGGTGACAAAGATAGTTACGTGTGAGATTGGATCCCTTTCTCCGGCTAATAGTGAGCAGAAACCCAACGAAGACCTCAATAAACAATTTATCAGTCATTTACACAACTTTCCGTTGATGCCGTCTGTCGAAATTTCGCTGAAATCTTGTGTTTTTCCTCGATCTAAGTAACGCGGTTATCCAACATTCAGGTTCAGAAACGGCTGCATCTTCTCCTGCATTGACGAATTCTCTTCACGCATCACAGCCACCATCGATTATCGGAAGGAGACTTCAGAATCAGACGCCAGAAATATTCTTTTTATTCCAGCTTTACAGCTAGGACATATAGCAAATAGCCTTTTAACTACTTGTTTTCAACCATAATCATTACCGTGAAACAGAAAATGGTGGCTATTTTGATTATTTGCTGTCCCTTTGATAATTATTTTAAAGTATTGTATCATCCGATTAGATCAAAATGTATTTTCTCCTATGTTCGCTTTGTAGATAACGTTAAGTGTCAATCAAAGGACCTGTTGCTGCGCAGCAGCGAAGTTTCGTGACCGTAACACGAACAATTTTCCGAACGGGAAGCGAATTTTTATTATATAGGTTAAAAAATATAAATAAAAAGGCTTTTATGACAGTTTGACTGTAAATTTTGCTTCACATTCATCAACAATTACCTCGAAAGCGCATATGGTTTAGTAGCATTTTTAAATGTAGCAAACAAAACAAGATGAGTCTGTTGTTGATCACGTAATTTTGAACAGGTTAACTTCGCGTCAGCATAGGCGCATTTCTTAGAATTTCATACACCCCAAGGAAAACCCAGCTACGAACCGCAAGCGAGATGGGTCGCGGGATCAAAGTAACTTATTACGCCTCGCGGTGAAATTTAACTTCTGCAACGCTTTTTGAGTTGATTAAGCTCGATGTAGCCCGAGTGATGGTGCTTCTCGCAGACAGTGAAAAGCAGTCGAATTTTCTATTTCAATCCATAAAATTGGCTTGCTGTGTTTTTAGGAAGTCTTTTCAGTATCAAACTCAATTCAGTACATAAAACATCACGTTAGAATTTTTTCTATTTTCATATCAATATCAAATGGACTACTTATAAACATCTCCAAATATGCTTTTATCTCTGTTTACAAATTTTCACTTTTGCAACCAAAGCATTCTAGAATCTTGATTACTCGAAATAAATACAGTTAATCCAAGCATTATTGAAAATGAAAAAATCAAGTACGATACATAAATCAAGAAAATGGAGCAAATAAGGACTGTTGATGTCATATAATATGAACAGTGTGTAAATCATTTGTCTAAGAAGAAAAATTATTGATGTACCAAGCCAATTAAAATAGTTTTCCAAAATGGAGAAGATACCTCTTGCTCATTTAGCAACTAGCATTTTTACTTTCATTTTAGAAACAAATTTCATTTGACTCTGCTAATATAATGAATAGACAAAGGTGAATTTTAGACGTTTTATTTCTTATTGCAGAATTACCAAGAAAGCAAAAATTCACGGTTTATATGATACTTCTACAAACAATGTCCAGTGTGCTTAGCATCATTAGCAGAATTACAATTAATCTGCAGCTTGGTAAATTAAAACAAATTTCTTTTGTCGCTTAATTAATGACATCATAAATGAGTTATTGATGAATTTAGGCTCATTTGAAGTTAGCATTAATGGGTATTTGTCGTAATTTGTTTGTAATAAGGTATTAAAAAACAACAACTACAGAATGTTACTACGTTGGTATAAAGAAGCAGTTATTAAGACAAATTGATATAAACAAAAAGATAGTCCCCCTGACATTCTATAACTCTGTGTAAAGGATCTTATTTATATTTTTACGTAAAAAGGTGGAGTTAAGCTTCAAGAGTAGCTATTGTAGGGAACTCCAGGACTACAGAAAGGGAACTGACAGATATAAGTATAATTGGCTAACACATAGCGATGAAAAATGCATTTTCTGGGGCTACTAACGATTTCTCAATATCTTGAACCAGCTTTGAGGGGGCTATCAGCAGACCCTTTTATTTTTTTTTCACGTGTCCTGGTTGTAAGAAATAGATAGTAGGCCGCACCCAACAATTTCACAACAAAGCATAGAATCGCGTGCAGGGCTACTATAATACCAGCCAGATCAAGACCCTTTTGGACAAATTGGGATGAATTAGTGCTCTTAAGAGTATCTTGAAGGGCATCTTGAGCACATTATACCTTGTTTCTATTGTCGCTCAAGTTCAAGTCAACTCCGATGATAGATAGGAGACACTTTTATGCTAGCAAAAGGGTAAGCTGAACCTCACACCGCCAGCTAAATGGCTTTATCTTTGCTCTATTCCATCCTTCCTTCATTCCATAACAGCCACCCATTTCCAAATGAATTCCCTACATGAAATTTCCAAAAATAACTGTTCACTACTTTACCTTGTGTTTGACAGCTTGGAAGTTGAAAGCTTAAGAACCTGAGAATTCAACATTGTATCTTTATTAAACAGATAAAAATTTAGCCAGTTTTCGGCTACACACAAATGCCGCTGAAAATGTGTTGGATACAAAATTCCTGACTGAAAACACATTCAATGGTTTTCTCAAACTTTCTTGGGATGTCGTGTCTACGAATTAATCCAAATTAATTGTATATGAATATCATACAGGAAAGAGGCAAGCAACAAGCCATTGTTTCGTATTTTAATGTTTAATAAAACTGAATACTGAGTTGTCTAGTAAAATTTTAATTAGCAAATAAATCATTTGTCCTTGAAAGAACAGGAAACTAAATATAAATGCAATTTTGTCACGCAAACGAGATGGCGCAATTAAACATCCACAGGTCTATTTGAGATGTTTTTTAATTATTTTTAGCATAATTTCTATCCTCTGACAAATGAGGGATTGAAAACAAAATATGTCGGCCGATAGAAATAATTCAGCGCTTGTGTTCCTTGAGAAACAAAAAGAAACGTTTCTAGTAATGAAATTTTTAAATTTGGCAGATTGATAGCGAAAATTATGTTTGAAATTCCTCGTAAATATGTGATCGATGCCAAAAATCTTTCTGACAATTTTTCAATTTAAAATTTGGAAGAATTTTAAAACATAGATTTGCTTTGAATCTTAAGAACTTCAAGGGCTTTGCCCCCTGGACTAAACTTGATAGGTTTATAATGTCCCCAGATCGATCTGTTCAAGGCACATGGTGCTTAAACTGCACCTTTAGTGAAACCCGCCCCCTTTTATCATTTCCCGGTTCAAATTTCTACCATTCCTTTGGTTTCAGTATATTCTTTGCATGTAAACTTTTTCACGTTTCAATATAATGAGAAGCTACATCTTTTATGAATGTAACTATCTAAAACTTATGAAGATACATGTTCTGATCTAAAACCAGCATGAGATTTCTGAATTATGAAACAGCATTAAAAACAGCATTAAAAACTGTGAAAATTTAATGGCAGGAAATTGTAAATCTATTAGCAGTTTCCACTGATTGTTTCCATCTCAGAGTTTTTTTAAAACCATCTGTTATAAAGGACAGGCAAATATCTTTGTAACTGGAGGGGGCACTGTGACACGTTGTACAAACTTGCCAAAAAGTTGTTCAAATGCGCAAATGTTTTTATTTCGACGTACTAACAGCTGCTGAAGAATTCAGGTCAAAAGCTACTTTGTGTCTTTTTTTCAACAACTTTTACTATTTTACCTAATTAACTTGAAGCTCCTTCCAACTGCTTGAAAAACCTTCCTCTAAATTTCTCTAATCTTTTCAGATATGGACCATTCCGAGGACACTAGATAATTTTGTCTGATTTGTGTACGCAGTTCCAAAGATTGAGGTAAAGCCTACTCTGAAACTTGAAGAGGACCATTCCATTGTGAATTCAGGGTGTCGTTAGAATCTTGTCACTACTTTCACCTAGTGAGGAAAAATTCATTGTTGCCTGATTCGGAATGTTCCAAATTCCTTCTTTGTCATATCTTACAAGTCTGTTAAATAAGAGAAATCGTATGATGCCTCTTGCCCAGGAATCAATCGAATAAAATTGTGCAGCTTTGGAAGAGGAGCAAAGCAAGGCTCCGATATCGTCGCAAATGATAAAATACGAACTTTGATTCCAGCGAAGCTATATAGCTAGTTTGTTTGGATTTCAAACTACAAATGGATATCGATGCAAAGATTCGTAACAAAAAGTCATGGGACAGCGCGAGAGCAGGTCCTTCTGACAACTTGGTCAGCGGTGCCATCTTAATTTTTTACAATAACAAAGAAATTCTTGGAAATCGCATCTGCCGGTTATCAAGGGTCAATCAAATTGTAGTACACATGTCTAATTATCTATGTGTTATCAGTCATCAGAATCGGTGGCGTAACGCAGTTTAGGGCACCTTACGTCACAAAGCACCCCCGATATAGTTTAATATCCACGTTTTTAAAACTTTGCTTAAGTTCGTCTTGTTTTCAAAGCTCTGTGACACAGCATCTGAACTAATGTGGGGATCACGTGAATGATCCTGCGCTGTGTTAAAACGTTTCGTCCCTCGAAACTCCAGAAAAGTTTCTGGTTCTTGTTTTATTACATATATTAAAAAATCCCTTTTTAATCAATTGTTAAAGAATATGTGGACCATGTTTTGGCAAAAGTGGGGGGGGGGAGTAATTACCCCCATACTCCCCCCTGGCGCCGCCACTGACTCTAAATGTAAGAAAGGTCTGCCTAGAAGGAATGATTGATGGATGCAAGAAGAAGCAGGAAAGCAACCAAAAGGTTGGCGTGGCAACAGGTATCCCTTATTTATGCGCAAACTGCCAAAGGTGGAATGTGCGAATGATGATGACCAAGGAAAACTGTTTTTGTGCTAGAGATTTACAAGATGCAAGAAGAAGACAAAATTTGTAACATAGTGATACGACGGTGAATTGCCCAGATTCTTTTTGAAGTGTGAATGTCGAGAAACAAGCGAGGCTGACTGTACTGCGTGTTTTCCCCTTTTCGCACAATATTGGACTAGATCAAATGAAAAATGCTGACTGAGATGCTCCAAAAACAAGAAAAACAAGACTTATCAGCCCCATTTAATCTTGAAAAGTACCCCTGGTCACTAGCTACCCTGAGTACCAGAGCCTCGTGAATCTTGTGATAGAGCAGAGCCGATGCCAATTGGGGGCATGGGAGGGCGCGTCGTTTGTCCGAAAATCTGAATGCTTGTCGGAAAATTCTAGGACCCTCCACAAGTCATATCCCAACGACTGGCTGATGATAGTCTTTTTATCTTTCCATATTTTGCTACCAGTAATTTTGCTTTTAATCGATTATTTCATGTTGCATCGGTTGAAAAAAGCCAAATTTAGTCCTTACGGAACATTTAGGGTTCCTTTCGCGTAAAACTCCGGGATTTTTCCAGTCGACAATGGAATCTTTTACAGTGGGAAGCATGAAGCAAATGGCGAAAATTGAAACTAAGATGTATAATTTGACTTTTGCTATATGCTGAAGCACCAGAATGTGCTGCAGCGATTTCAAATATAGGCCCATGTCAACCTGGAAAAGATCAGGCGTTCAAAGCTCCAGAAGAAGAAAAACAAAGAAAGATGCATTTGCAGCAAATAAAAAGAGAAGAAAAAGATCTGATTTTTTGGCATTATTATACTATGGAGCATGTTTTTTTCCTTGCTATCATGTTGTGTTGATAACGTTGTTTAACTTTTTTAACTTGTTATCTTTTGAATTTTAATGAAAATGCTTTCGTAACAGCAAGAAGACAACTACACCTTGATGAAATCTATCTTTATCTAAAATAGAGCAAATTGGGTTGCCCAGTAGGCCACTAGTTCTATACCTAGCAAATGGGAACTGGTAAATAGATACGCATGCGTAGTATTCTACCATTGAAGTAGATATGTCGTCGGAAATATTACGATGTAAGCCCCTTATGAATCACTGCTTGTGTTGGCCCTGAGATAAAGTATTGTAGACGGTATTATAGAATGATTCTCGCTCAAAGAAATATTTCAGTGTCTAGTTTCGGACTGTATTTCTGAGACTAAATGATGGAAACTCTTGCACCCAGGGTAGTCACTTGGTTATACGCGAGAAGAGCTTACCCGTACAGCAGAACGGAATTCCTACAATGTCTACTTGGCTTCCAGATTAAAATTAAAATTTGTGGACAAAGACAAAGAAGGGGGTTGACGGTGCAAGCAGTCATTTGGTGACCCAAGTGAAGATTTACTGATGAAAACCTAAGGTGTGTCAGAAACTGCTACACCCTGACAAAATGTCATTGTTTTTGGCTTTAAAAATGCATTGATTGCTGAAGTTAATCTTCTTTGCATTCGCTTTTATGAGTTGAAAAGCTTTCTTGAAAGCTCCAACAAACAGGAGTGTGTCAGTAAAATGAAAGTTTCCCATAAAACGGAAGACACAACTGACATCAGCTTTGTTAATGCTACTAACAGCATTAAGTTCATTATAATGCCGAGGATATCCAACTTGACACGACCTTCTAAAGTTGAACAAACAGTTTGGCATTCTATCCTGACATGAGAGTGGTCAAGTCTGTTGTTTAAGAAAAAGAAGCGAAATTTTACGCAATAGCTGTCCGCAAATTGTTTCGAGAAATTCGAATTCAAAACCAATGAAGCTATCGTGTGCCGAGGGATTAGTAATTCCCAAAGAAACAAAGGCCAACTCATAAAAACCTCGTTAAAAGGTAAACTGAGATGCGTCATAGCACATGGCCTGTTCGATTCTTCTATTGATTGAACACCTGGTCCTGCATGTACCGCGCTACGTACAGCGGGTAGTGGCCGATTCAAAATACAGTGGAATCCTGCTATTTCGATTTCTTTAGGGCCTAAAGAACCCAAACAAGGACCATGAAGCATATAACAGGTTGAGGGGGCTAAAACGTTTTTGGGGGAGGTTAAACACTCTAAGAACTACGAGCAAGACAATTTTTGGTATGGTTTTAAGCGAGGGCCGCTTCACTCTTGCACATTGCTTACGAGAATTTGCCTAAAACAAAAAGATTTCTGGGGATTTTCAGATAAAACAATAGGATTTTCACAAAAGATGTAGGAGATTTCTTAGAGTTATTTACCCCTCGGTTTTAAGTACATTCTGGAAGCTTTGTTTTGGGGGGGGGGTGATGGCTAAAGCCCCTCAGCCCCCTTGCATCCGTGGTCCCTGTGAAAAAGTCGTAAAGAATTCCAAGTAATGGTAGTTCACTATAATGAGAACCCTTGTTGCAGCAAGTGTTGTCAAACAGAAACTCAGTGAAAGTAAAATTTACTGACGAAGACATACATAAAGAAATATTTAGGTGCTATTTCAACTACCAGTTGACTTTGCCGACATTTTATCGACAAACTAAGGATTTTGTGGATCAACTGAGTTCTTATTAACCGACTCATTAAGTATTGAAGGGGGTGGGGGTAAACACCCCCCACAAGTTATGTCCCTACAGAAACTAAACGTTGTGGGGATGAATTTTCAAAATGAATTGGCATTAATGATCGGGCAGTAGCAAGCAGAGCATGTCTGGAATAGTCAGTAATATGTTTTTGTCGCTGCCGTCTTGCGGCTTAAACAACGTTGAAAATGAAAGGGATTTATTTCTTATCGCATTTAACCTCTGGCACAGGCACAACTGGCACAACTTCATTCTATGTGGGTGGTTGTACAACGACTTCTTCATATATTCTCACAGGGACGGATTTACCGGGAGTTGTGGGGGATGCGACACTCCCAGATACTTTTATGTCCTTCGTTAAATTCTAATTCGATTGGGTTAAAGGCATTTTGTAGTCAGTAGTGAAGGTTAAAGGCAAATTTATTCAGTTATCTTCTGTTTTCTATATCTTTAAAGTAACGACTGAATTCTAAACACAGGCTTTTCCATCATTTTCCTGTTGCCTGAAAGTTGTGACGCCAAGATCAAATCATTATCTACCCCCCCCCTCCCCTCGATCCTTGCCGCTTTAATCCATCCCTCCTCTTAAGTATCCGATATCTTGACTGTTATCTAGCCCCCCCCCCCTCCATCCTTGCCGCTTTAATCCATCCCTGGTCACCCTCCTCTTAAGTATCCGATATCTTGACTGTTATCTTTTCCTCTGTAAGTTGAAATGCTCAAAGTGAGCAATGCATAATCGTTGTCTATGTACTCGTTCATTTGATATCAAATACTCATTTCGTGATCTTTGCTCTTCAACTTCATTGGCTAATGCTTGATAACTGGCTAATGACTTTTCCTTAAACACTGTTATATAGAGGGCATGTGTTGCCCGGCGACCAAAAAGTTTGTAATAGCGAAAGAAAGCTATACCGGGGGATTCGTTCGGAAGGGGTTCTTTACGATAGAATCATAAAGTCAAATCCCATAGGCTCTATACTTCTAGCTCGTAATAGTGGGAAGATTGTAAGAAGCTCGTTTCGTGATAGCGGGATTCAAGAGAACTACGTAACCATGGCGTATCTCAAGAACTGACCGCAATACATGACTTTGTGGTTTAACAGAGACGTGGTGGCTTGGAGGCGGGGATCCTAAAGCCCCCAAGATTGAAAATGTGTATGTAAGATTCACGTGACATCAAGGGGTTAATTTCCGCGGTTATAAAGGGTAATGATCATTTATTTATTGTTAACTATATATATTTATCATGAGTGTCTTTTCAAGAGCGTTGCTTTCTATGTTTCGCTTCTTTTAAACCAGCCTGGTAGGCAACACTGGTTGCATGGAGTTATGATTGCAAAGGATGCATGTAAGATGCTGAGTTTGCATACATTGTGTATGAATTAGGATCGCGCAGAAGACGCAGCAGATCCCGCGATCAAATCGCATTTCCACGTTTTTGAAACTTGATTTCATATTAATAATTTAATAATCTCTGAATATCAACAATGTCTAAATTAATCATGTAACAGAATCATAATAAGTTATAATGATTTGTTTGTTAATTACATCACAAACTCAATAATTTAAACAACAACGTTTCATAAACAAAAATGTACACTCATTGACTATCACGAAACCTTATCCAAAGAAATTTAGAATTGCATTTTGCACTGAAAAAAGTTTTTCTAAAGCTTGATAATCTTGGAGAGCAATCCAGAAAACCTTTAAAATGGTAGATTGACGAAGATATAAATATGTATCGAATAAAATACACGAAGGAGCAGCCACTAGACAATTCACATCATTACTCAATAAAGAATATCCATATTGATAGTTTAGCAACTCTTTTGCAAATATCCGAGGGTATTTTCAATCAACCATGCCCGTTTGCTTAGTCATTTCAAGTTTTAAAGAACCCTTTCGTACTTAAAATTAGACCTTGTTCCGGGAACGAGCCAAGGTAATAATTGATGCTAGTGCTTATGATAAAGGTGTTGGTGATTATGATTATGATTATGACGCCTGATGCAAATGCCTTTTAAATGTCTTATAAATGATGCAAATGCTTTTCTCAAACACTCTAACATACCAACATGGATATGTGAAAGACAATAAAGTTATGTTAATCTTTAGAATTTCTTGTTTAACCAAACCAAACTATTTTGAAAGATGTTCTAGACCAGGTGGTTTTATCAGAAAGGTGGTGTGTGTACAATAATACAATGAAACAGAGCTCGAACTTGGATCTCTTGTCAACCAACTTTGGGTAGATGACATCGAATGGTTAGGCGAAACAATCAAAACAGCTGGAGAATGGTCATTTCGTATAACAAAAGCTTCGAAGAAAAATGGGAACATTGAAATTGTCTGACTGTGACTGTCTGTGGGTGGAGGGGCAGGTACATCACGGGCTGTAGAAATGCAGGTCAAAGAAATAGAATGATCAGTGTCTACTGGAAAAAACTCAGTTAAACTCCTTTACATTAAAGTCACATAAATTAGACGAGCCAGGTTTTTACAAAATTGAAAAACTGGCTTTCAACGTTTTTTAAAAAGCTCATTGAAGCTAGCACTTAAATCAACTGATTTTCTACCACCTCATTCTTTAGGCATTGCTATTTGCTTCATTCTTATCCGAAGCTAGATTCTCTTCAAGTTGATTTTGCTCAAGTGCCAGATCAGGCAACATTTTATATTCAACCCCAAAGGTTCTGTACATTTTGTTGAAAAAGTTCCCAGATTAAAATGTAACTAACATCTTTGTGTCCATAAATTCTGAACAATGTTTCTTAGTGATGAAAAGTTTATCCATTCTCTGTTGCAATGCACAATCCCGATAATTGCAATCCATTAGTTCCTTAGTAGTGAATTTTTTCTTTAGAACAATAAAAGATCAGAATTTACACTTGAAGTTTGCAGCAAACTATATAAACGTTGAAAACCCACAGAAGAACAAATGGATGCTTGCAGTTCCCTTGCAAAAGCCATCTTGATGAAGCATTTCACCTCCCCAAATATCAAAGCAGTGACATTGTTTACCTGTGTCCCAAACATTTTTTCGATAGATATTCCCACAGGAATATAGGCTATGACAAACCTATATAGGTATATCTTCATCAAACTGCGTTGTTGTTGCTGCTCCCGAAGAATCTCTTTCCATACATAATCAGTTTGTCATTCCAGTTCTTGTTTACAAGAGGCAGATCGACTTCGACGTATTTCGCAAAAACAAGCAGCATTGCCGACATGATTGCGACCGACAATATGAATCGTAAAATTGTTCCAACACATTCACAATATGAGCCCCTCGACTTTTGCGCCCTAGAAAAAACAGATTCGTCTTTGACACCAAGATAAAATTCGATTTATAGTAAAAAATATACTTATGACGTTCCATTTTTTATTCGTCATGGGTATATCGAGATCTTGCACTTTGGTATTTAGAGCAGGACATTTCTAAGTTACAAACCAGTCAGACCTGAGTTTATAAAAATCCTCATCACTACACCCCTGTACCAGCCAACTGTTCTAAGCCATTCGTTTACGGAGAAAGGGAGCACTTGAGAACTTATGTGTTCTATTTAACAAGCATGTACAGCCATGGTTACAGGGCATCGAACGCTCTGCATAAGTAAAGTTTTGAGCATTCTTCATTATCTCAAGGTTTTTCCCGATTCAAAGAAATAGTGTAGAATGTAGATGAACATATAAGACGTTGTAAAGCAATGATCTACATTGAAGACAACAAACCTCAAAGGAGCTGTTGTCTCTGGCTCTTTTTCATTTGGAGCAAAGTTGACAGAGTTAGGAGTTTTGCTGATATCTTCGTTATCTTGAAAAAGAACTTCCGAAACTTCGCTTGACTTCTTATGCAAATCATTTTTCCTTTCCCGTAGTATGGATGAAGCAAGGCCGAAAAAGGTCGAAGAACTCGATTTCTGAAAGTATATGGCAATGTTCAAACATATTTTTACAAATAATCCAAAATTCTTCTGCATAGTGTAACTCGACAACCATAAACTGGCATGAAGCAAAGAGCATCGAAAAACAAAGACTAGCATTTTGTCTGCCTTTTCAAGATTCAAAATATGCTTGTTATCACTAAGTAGAGTAGATGTGATGTGGTTTTTCGATTGAAAAAAGGAAAAGTTACACTGACATTTTGAAGAATTTTACTAACAAACGTTGCTTTCTCTTTAAAATCTTAATCTTCGATTCAAAATTGAATCTAATTTTTTATGCAAATTTCATAACTAACCTTAAATTGAGCCATAGGAAAAAAATTGAAAAGAGTAATTTGGGAATTAAAACTTTCAAAGTTTAAACAAAACTGCAAACACTATAAGAGTTTTAAAATAGATAAGTAGATTTTCTCAAATCAAATCAAACAATTTCCTACCCCCCTCCCCTCCGATTGTTCCAGCAACCCGTCCAATATTTCCAGCCACCAACTGTAATTATATTCTCATCCCCCCCCCCCCATTTGTTGAGTACTCGAGAGTACTATTCTAACAGACATCTTCTAACTTAGAATACTGACACGGGGAAATATCAAAGTATACCCCTAAACAGGTTTGTTGAGAATCGAGAAGCGTTTTCTCAGCGACTAAAAAACTTTAAAATTCTCAGTTTGACTTGTATGAACAACTGACCTTGCTTTTCTCCTCTTTTGAAAAGTCTGATCCATTTCTATTGCTTTCCTCAAATGTAAGTGCCCCTAAAATGGAACCACCAGAAAGGTTTACTTTTTCTTAAGATATGGGGACAAGGAAACATTTCATCGTGTCCTTGCAACACAGCAAGATTTGTTGGAAGCACATGGAATATACCCGTTATAAACATAGTGGGGAACGACAACAAACGAAGTTGGGAATGGGAACAAAGTATCAGAGGTTTAGCAAATGGTCCACATTCCTTCTTAACATTGCTTACAAGGGGACCTGTTCTCCTGAATAATATGCACTTTCTACAAGCGCCAACTCGGTGAAAAAAGGATCCACCTGGCACAGTCAGGCTGTGTGACACTTTGTTCACATTCCTTTTATAACTGCAAATTTATGAAAGAAACAAAACTGCAAATCTGCAGCACTAAGATTTTCGAGCGAATTGTAGCAAATTTGGTATATCTCATCCCTTTCGTGATAAATGATTTAAAAGCACCAGAATTTTTGATCAACGAAATCAAAACCAACCTCGACATTTTTCACAATAACCGTACTTCTGTTTCACGTGATTTGCATCTAAAACCGAAACACACAGGAGAAATTTAATATAAAGCTACAAATGTAAACTTCAAAGATTAATTTTTTTGCTAAACTACACATTTCTCAAAAAAATTGAATAGCTGATTTTAGCCTAGATTTGGCTTTAAGCGTTAAAAAGCATTTAGTTCATTCTTTACCGATGCAAGCCAATCTTAAAGAATATTGTAGCAAATCAGAGATGAAAGCAAATTCTCAAAATCATTATAATAAAAAATTATAAAAAACCGACAGTTCTAACAGCCTAACCATGGCTGAAGTTAAAAGCTCGTCTCATGAAAGAAGGGCTTCAAAATGGCTTTGAAAAAACCAACATTTTAAGACAAACTAAAGCTTTTCTCTGACCCTCTTCAGTGTACAAAAATCAGATTAATGCTCGTGAAAGAAAATGCAGAGCTATATTAAAGGTCAGACTTGTAAGAAACAATTCAGAAAAATTTCCTTAACAGTATAAGAACATTAACGCTACCACTCAGTCATTAATTTATTTTCACTTTCTTGTTAAATGTCTCAAAATAGTTTAAAGAATATTCACGAAAATAACTGTCATACCAGTAAGTCATTATAGTGCCTGATGCACTAAAGGCAATTGTAGAGGTATCGGTATACAGAAAAAGACCCTTACAATGGAATCTAGCGCTTCTAAAAAGAGGCAACTTTGTAAAAGTTGACTGAAAAATTATCATACCATTTCCTATTGAATATTGAGACTCCAATACCAGTTCCTTGTTTCTAAATTTAAAAAAGCAAGCTTAAAAATCAACAATTATCTGTAATTATATGATAGCTCCAATAAATAATAAATTACAGTACACATAAGGTGACATTAGTTAAAACAGGCTAGACGAATTTCTATTATGATTTCTATAAATCTATTTAAGCAGGTATATGTAGTTCTAAAACCTTCTAATGATAGACGATACACAAGTTTATTCACAAACGATTTTGTTTACAAAGTCAATGCTTTTCAACCTGCAAGCTGTTTACGGTTTACATTCAGATGTTGAGTTTGATGTTCAAACTGAATCGAACTTTAGTCTACATTTCTCATAATCCAGCCAGCCGAAATCGTCAACTAAGCCGGACTAATTGAAAGGACATAACAATAATACGGCAAAATATCTATATTTTCCTTGAAATTTATATTTAGCAATGAAGCTTCGTTGATTCCTCTCTACTTATGAATATCTTAGTTATTGCTTGATAATATCGACTAATAACATGTTTTAGATTTCAGAAGCAAGCGTTATAGCCACCAAAACAGTAAGAGTAGTAAATTATGGCAATAAATTGACAAAAAACTGTGTAGCTTAGAAGAACCAAACAGCTAATTGTGAATTAAAAGCAAGCTTCAAGCGATTAATTGAGGCTTTAGGTGACGGAAAAAGTTTTTAAAAGCACCCGAGTATCTCAGACCTTGCAGTTGCCTTACAATAAATTCTATATTGCCTATAACCATGGATAAAACCAGTCCTTGAACATCTAGTTTAAGGCAAATAAATTTAACATGGCAAAAATAGGATTTCAAAATTTGCCCCTTTATTATACGGCATTTCTTAATTACTCATTGCAGCGATATAGTTCAGTTTGTCCCGATTCTCGTCAAGGAAACAAACTATCCAAAACTGTACCATATTATTGGCAAACTGACTGTGGTTTTCTGTTGCTAAGACAATAGCAAGTTGTCAGATATACGAATTTTCAAATTCGCAAAGTAAATGATTCTGAAGAGTATTACACTTATCAAGGCTTAGCTTCTGCTTAAATAAATTCTCATGTCATTTCACTGCTAGGCAGCCAAGCTTTGGGAAAACCATTGAAGATCGAGTATGAAAAATGACACTCCTGAGAACATGCAGTGTCTTCGACCTTTTTATAATACTCACCGACTGTCATCGGCTTCCTTTGATCTTTCTAAGCGCAGTTGGAGATGCTCTGCATAGCTGATAAGACACTCGAGGGTGGGTGCTACTTTTGATTCCTGAAATCATAAAATCCTTTGTCGAAACTGTGCATTAAAAGAAGGGTATTTGGACACCATTTAACTTAAGGATTTGACTGTCGAAATTTCTACAAGAATTTAGTGAAATTTCCAAGAACATTTCAACCACCTTTTAAAGCTAAATAGTTTTTCTCACACTTAATTGAAGACCCGAAAAACTGAATTGCTATCTATGTAACATAAAAAACCATTCTAAGAAGAGTTTTAAAGCAAGGATTTTGATGCAAAAATTGTATCCTATTTATCTTATAAAAATTTTAACCGACCGATCCCCAACAGCAGAAGATTTTTCAATTTTTTCCTAGCATCATCTTGTCTCATTAGTAATGATAAAATCAATTCTATAAAGAGAAAAGCTTCTCGAAAAATTATTTGTAAATATTTAGGTTTAATTAGAAAACCATGTCCTTACTTGTTGAAAACATCCGTGCTGCTCAGCTTGGGCGGAGACCTTCATTCCAGCTTTTCTTAGAACGTCAATGTGTCTTTCTAGATTCGTTATGATTTCCTGGAACAGGAAGTGAATTTAATGTACTTACAGCAGCTACGAACACGACATTCTTTTCGACCATGCAGCGAATTTAAGTCTTCGAACATCAATCAGATACTAGACTCTTTTGTTAGACTGACTATATACTAGACTATATAATACAATGATATATGAAAGCCTAAGCTTTTTTTATTGAACAAGCACCACGCAAAACGTCGTGTTTTGCCCTGCAATGTTTTTATCATTTGAGTCAATTAATTACAGGATATGAAATGAAACAGCGCAATCAATTGATACTAAATAATCCTCGAATGAACCATTTCTTTCATCAAAAAAGCAAAATAAAATTTCAGAATCAACTTGATGGATAAATCAGCAGTTATGCCCTTCTTACTTAAATTTTCCAGCGGCTGTCTCATGAATAAGTTTTTTCATTTTAGAGTGCTCGTGAGATGCCCAAATACCTATTGCTGAACAATGTGTAATTTAGTAAACAGCCTCTAGCCTAAAAGTCTATTTTTTGTGTTAGTTGAAACTCGATGAAGTCACGGCCATTTAGAATGAGGATGGCCAAGGTCGCGGATTACAGATTCGAGGGTCTGGGTTCGAGCTTTGCCAGGACCAAATTTTCGCTCAGACTGTGGCGAGTAGCCTTTTCTCTGTAATTCTAAGCACAGAAAGCACGAGATGTGGACCAGATCACTGCTTAAAAGCATGGATAGTTAGCGTCCTAACTACCTTCGCAAGCTGCCTGGCAACGAATAAAAATACATGTCCAGTTCAGCTACTCACAGAGTATTTGTATGTAGTCTAAGTTATTTTTACTTCTATTAAAAATAGAAAAAATCATATAAACTCTATTCTTGTTTACCTTTAATTCAAACGTCATTGCAACTTTCGACGCCACCTGGAAGAGATAAATCTAAACATTATATCCAAAGCACTGATACTTAATTTGGGTATCATACACAATATAATCAAATGTAAGGGAGGCTTTTTATCCACGAGCAAGGCAGACAGTTACCATTTTAGGCATGATAACCGTGTTAGTTATTGCGATTGTCAGATTTTCACAATAGAAAAGCTTGAGTGGCACCTACGCTTCCTTTAAAATCGGCCCTGCCGCAACTGTTAATTGTTACGAAAGCACTGAAGGCTGATAAATGCTGGAATTAAGACATCTGTAAACAGATGGGAAATGTTGATCCGACTTATAAGTTGAGGAAGAAGAATAACATTTCGGCTAGGGTGGGCAAACTCGAGCAAGAACCATACCTGAGGGGGGGCAGGCTTTAAAACAAGAAAACAGATATATAACAAACCGATATATGTGGACTAGATTAAGCTCATGGAATTATAATTATGCCAAATTTTCAAAATATAATTCGGAAAAACTGTAGCCAGAGGGGGCAAGTTCTCGTCAACATTTTTATTTGGGGGGCCTCCCCTCTCCAGCTACGTGGCTGCAGGATTACTGGACACAATCCCTTCATTTTTATACGAAACTTGCTAGAAGAACAGAGAAAATCGAAGGAGAAAAATCAAGAAACAACTGCAATTTTATAAATCAGACTCAAAGAAAAATGCGATTTTCTGTCAATGTAAAGGGCTGGTTGGCATAACACTTCAGAGACACATAATGAAAATTCTTTCTTAATTTTCCACAACCAACATAAAAAGTCTGATTTTCTGTTATAGTTTCGAAAAACTTTTCCCAACAAAGTTAGAAAGAGGGCCCCAAACATTAAAAATAGAAACATGAAAATTCATAATCTCTAAAGAGGTTTTTGACACTAAAATTGGCCTAAGCATAAACTTAATGACGACTTATCGTTCTTTTAAAAAGGGTATACCAGTAAAGAGATGGCACTGAAAAAAGCTTCTTTGAAATCCCAGAAAGTTAAAAGCGCAAGGGGCTTAACTTAATTAACTTTAAAATGCTGGAAAAATATATTTCAGACCCAAAAATCAAGGAAAACACGCGAAAGTTGAGATAATTTTCACAAGGAATCGATTGTAGTTACGTGATGAAATAAGCTAATTGAAATTCACCCAAACATACGATAAACACCAGCCAAGCAATTGAGAACAACATTTTGGATTTACATCATATTAGAATTTTATCAAGCAAAATTATCTTGTACAAAACATAAGAATGAAAAATAAGCGTAGGTCGTTGAAATGTGCTAATATTAGAAAATGATAAGGTATCTAACAGTGATAACAAAAAAACAATAAAAACTTATTGCAGAGGAATTTTAACTTTAATAAACCGGAGAGGTGGAGTTTTTATTTAAAGCAAAATTAGAGAAGATAAAAATTTGAAATCATTTATTAGTAAAAAGTCACGGTATTGTTTGGCAATAATCTGCATTTGCAATAAGATATTTCGTGATAAAGTGTTAAAGGAAATACCTGTAGACTTTCGTGCAGCTTTCGAATTTCTCTCTCCATTCCGCTTTCAGCCACATCTCTTGCCCTCTCCTATGTAAACAACACGACAAGAAGAGTTGTTAGAAGTTTGACGGAATAAAAATACACAGCGTAAGCCTCACAATACAATTTTTCGCCACATTCATCGCCACATTATCCCCTACAAATTACCTTTCGGTAGCAGAGATAAAAAGCAGTCTAAAAACATCAAATCTATTTTCAACAAACATTTTCACACCAGTTTGTAGAACTATTTTGATTCTGGTAGTAAATTTGAAATTTCGCATTTCATTGCGGATTTTAAATTGGGGTTAAACATTCCATTTTCGCGGTTGGATTTCTTATAAACGTGTAGGGTTTTGAGTGCTTAATTGCAGCCAGGAAACTAAAATGAAGATCTTTATAAGCTTCTAAAGAATGAAGAAGATAGTTGCAGCTATAGTATGCCACTACAGTAGCTCCACTACTACTTAATTCCATGCTCCAGGTCTGGACACAAATAGAAGGCGCAAATTGGCAAAAAACGTCAGTTTAAATTGCTTGGGCTGATATGACACTGTGTTGCAATAACAACGTAAGTTAAAACTTCTAAATTCTACGTCAAATAATCACCTGATTTTCGAGTCTCCTTTGAAGTGTGTATTGATCAGTTTTGAACGATAAAACTGCTGCATTGTATTTTTTCTACAAAATATTAGAAACAAAAACGATCAAAATCTACAGCAACAAATAGGATTGATTTCTGTACGAAAACTGCTTGGAAATTATCTTATTCTGTAGAAAAAACAATTTAAAGAAATGATGGTTGACGAAATTCACACATGATTTCTGAAGTAATGTTGTTACTACGTCTGTAAGCAAAGTCTATTTTTGGCTTTTCTGTTTAAAAAGAATAGTGGCATGCTAGCAAATTGAACATTTTACACAAGTAATGAAACAAAAGCTGCTCTTTCTGTAAAGATGCTTAATGGAACTAAGAACATTCAAAAAAGCAAAGTCTCTTGGCTATTATTGGATTCAGCAATCAATTTTGGAAACTTGTATTTTGCTTAACACATACATTTTGATTGTATTTCCTTGAAATTGTCAGCTTATGTATAGATTGTAAAGACGACAGTAAATTGCTTTGTGCAATGTAAGAATATTTTCAACACGAAAGAAGAAATGTAAAAGCTATAGACAATTTGTATCTATCGAAGAATATATTTTCCACGCCCTGTTTTTTAAGGAAAATTTTCAATGCTTAAAAGGCGAAGAATGAGGAAGAATGAAAGAACTGTGAAACTGGTGAAGGTCATGTATAAAAAGAGAAGGGCATATTGTGCAGTAATTAAACAAAAAACAAAGAAATCACCTCTAGGTCCTTTTCCAAATTTGACATACTGCAAAAACAGAAAAGATCTTAGCCTTCATGAGGAAGAGATTTCGTCTCAGATCATATCTAATCTTATGCTGCATTTACTGACTGCCCTTAAAAACGAGCTAAATTGGCACTGGATTGGCAATAATTCACAATAAAGATGTTTGATGGTTACTTGTACAATAAATGCATTCTTACTGTGGGTGTTGCTCCTCGTGCATCAGTTTTGAGCTCTTACTTGAAGAGTTCAATAGGCCCCTGTTGTCTGGGCTGGAGCCACCTCCCTTTTCCTCCTCCACAGAATCTCCTAACTTGCTAGAACGCTTTGCAGTAGACTCTTCCACGATTCCTGCCTTTGACTCTTTGGATTCATTTGACCTAAGTGTTTGATAGGACTCTCCGGAATTTGAATGAACTGAGCTACTGGTAGAGATTTTAGTCCGCGGCAAATCCATTGAAACACTTCCTTCATTTGGTTGTGTCGCAGAGGAATCAACACCTTTGGAAGGAAGAAGGTAATTATTAACAGCAACTCTAAAATATCATTCCATTCAAGATTTGGGGTGAAAGCGACCTGGAGTCAGCAAGTTACATTGGAGGGGATGGTGAAACAAAACAGGCACAGGGAGAGTGTTACATATCTTGGATAAAAACAGAACTGCTGGTTTTAAATATCCTTATTAATTACATTGTCATCATGGTTAAGCGCAGTTCAGGTCTTCCTAGATTCAGCAGGTTGTTTCCTTTCATTAATCTCATTCAAGCCAATTGAACATGAGTAGAATCTTGCTTCTACTCGTGGTTCTAAGTAGCTATGGTTGGCTAAAAAGAAAAGCACGACTCCCTAAAACCAAAGGCAGCGCCAGCCAGTTTGTTTTGGGGGGGGGGGGCCAATCTTACCTGAAAAGAAGGCCCACGACCAACTTTTGGTTATGTAAAGGCAGTTTGAAAATCATCGCATTGCGTAATAAAAAGTACGTTGCCAAAATATTACCCCTCCCCCAACATTTCTCATCGAATTTAGACGAAATGAAAAAAATGATCCTGCCGAGAACTGTGGGGGACACGCCCCCAGTCCCCTCCATGGCGCTGCTACTGCCTGATACGCCGACATTTTGCGACACCTAAACGTTGTGTCATATTCAACTGAAAAAGGCATTCTAAACCAATCATTCAACACTCACTGCGTCTTTTCGCTTCAATTTCTAGTCAATTTAAAGGAAGGTTGTAGGGCCATAACATAGGAGCTTTTTGGATTCTCTGAAATAACTTCACATTTGTCAAGAACCTCACTTGTCTTTAACATTGAAATAAACTTAGAAATGAAAAGAAGTTTCATCATCTATTTCCCTCAGTCCATTTTAATAGCAAAGATTTGAATATGAAGAAAAGTAGATACATGGAAAAAAACTTTCATTTTAACCAAAGCCAACTCTTCGTTTTGCAAAGAATATGTGTTGATCGTTAGCGTTTTAATTTCACGGATTACAGGAATTCCTTGAAGAGATTAGTACGGATTTGCTAGTTTATATGTATGTGATAATTCTAGGCGACACACAGCATGTCATCATAGCACGAATTACTGGAATCCCTTGAAGGGATTAGTACGGATTCGCTAGATTGTGGATGCGTCATACTTGCAGAGGACGTGCAGCAAATTAAACTTGACCAAATTTCATGCTCTTAGCTTCTCCGTGTTCCCTGTGTTTAAGATCCAGTGGGATTTTTTCTACACAACCAGGTTCTAAAAAAGCGCTTGTTCGCAAAGCTGTGAATCCAAGAGCACTGGTTGTTTTTTGTCATGTTCATATTATGGAAAAACTGTGTATAATTTATCACACCCAAAGGTTTCATTGATCAAAACAAAGCAGTGATGTATTGGATAGGACACAGTTTCATTGGCACTGTCCGAAAATGCCCGAAAATGAAACGGAAGATGCTGACCTCCTCAATCAATGCTCTTGGAACATCTTTGTATTAAGCTTAATATTACTCTATAATAATAGCTAACACAAATTCACATTTTTGTTTTCGATTTCATATTTGACTCAAGGGCAGTGGAAGGGGGATCCTGTGATCAAAGATGCAGCCTTTGCTGGACTCCTTCCCACCTTAATCTACAAATGCAAAATAAGAGAAATAAAATTGGATGTTTGAAGCAAAGGTAGGAAAAGTAGTAGGGAAATTTCATCAGGAAAGGAAGATTAGAAGCAAATCCCAACATTGATAGGAGATTAGAGTAAGGCTTTTAGAAATTCTTAAAACGACTACTGTCATGGTGTTTTAATGACTGTATATCAAAACTATGCAGCAAAATCCTGACTGTACCGCTTTAATACTCAACATAATCTTGGAACACAATAGAATCATAAATTAATCTTTTTATCAAATTTGCAGCATATTTAGGTGTAAAACCATCATACACCCATCGTTAAGTTATCACAAAACAATGAAAAGTATATCAGTTGTGGCTCTTAGACAATAAAAACTGCCATGTTTTGTTAGCTAAGTCGGTTGGGCTATATTAAGATCGTAAATGAAGGGTAACCCATCAAACAAGCACTCTACTATTTTGAGTGACTTTACCACAGTAAGATCAAAATTAATAATGGGGTCGAATGGTGTTAGAACGGGGAGACTTTTCCACTCTGGACTCTCCTAGGGGTAACAGGCCAAATATACTTGGGAGGAACCCCAGCCCTCATTCCGATGGCCCTGGAGTAAGAACAATAAACTGCCACACACAGTACCTTGCTCCTGTTGGTCTTTTGGCACTTCATACCACCATTCCATTGAGGTATTAGCAGCATCAGCAGCATCCAGTGCAGTATCCCTTTCTTTGGTGATATCGTAGCCATCCATATTTATGTTATTGTTCGTGCTATCACTTACTTTTACGTCATACACACCCTCTATTGAATTTCGGGGGGTTCTCGTCAGTCCTTCAGTCTCTTGGTTCATCTCCTCTTCCAAAAATATTTGCTGGTTGAGTTTAATTGATTCCCTTAGCTCCGTCCACGTAGGCAGTCTGACTGGTTCAGCCGACACCCCGATTCTGCGCGCTCTTTTAGACCCTAAGGAAGCTGTTGAGCTCTCCGATACAGCTTCAGAGACCTCGCTTTTTGTCGAAACTTTGCGCTCAAAATCTAGGGTTTCTATCCCCATTTCATCGCTAGTGTTCGATTCGTCAGTCGATACACTATCGCTTCTTATCAGTAAATTGCGAGACCGTTTCTCCTTGGTAGTCCTATGTTCCTCACTTGTGTTGTCGACCTTTTCAACAGTTTTTGATTCGACTTCAAAAAGCTTTGGTGAGCACCTCTCATACGAACCATCAACAATTCCTCTCATACCACTCACAACAGATTGTTCTTTTGGTTTACCAAAGATTAACTGGTCTAAAATATCTATATCTCCTAATTGTTTGTCTTGCTCTGCAATATGATTCACCTTCAATCCCGGTATTCTGCACGGACTATTCTCTTTGGCGATCTGTTGATCTTTTAAAACATCATCTGATTTACTATTGTTTCGATTTTCAATCGAATCAACCTCTCCTGGTGACTCGTGTATCTCTTCAATCGGATCTGTATCTCTGTTAGTTTCTGTTAAATTTTCAGCCGCGTGTGAGTTTTTCTCAAGTTCATGCAATTCGTTATGCGCTCCGAAACAATCGTCGCTAGAAGCCGTCGCATCGTCTATCTCCTGCAAAGCTTTCAACATTGTAACTGCATGAATCGCTTCTTCTACTTCGCGCATACCCAAGTCCGTCTGACATGCAGCACACACGCTAGCTTTCTGGACCACGTGGGCATGCAGTTCTTTCGAGATTTTCGATCCCAGCTCGAAGTGAGTGTTGGGAAACGGCTGGTTTCCAATATTTTCGCTAAACAATGAGCTAGGGGCATCATTGCCCTCGCTTCCAATAGGCCCATCTCGGACACTCTGAAAGAAATTAACATTCTATTACACTCTTTTTTTACAAGAACAATTTCATAAGAACACGAGCCTCAAAACTGGTCAAAAGTTAAGAACAAATTAAGAACAAGTTGAGGCTGAGCTTCTGCAAATTGCAATTTTGAACAACGTTTTTCTCAAAATCGAGGATTTTTAGCAATGTGTGGGTGCTTTTTCGGTGAATATTCAAATTTGTCAGCAAATTAATTGTTGGCAAATGAGGCCTGAACACCTCCTTCAGAGCAATAGCACTGCTCACACCCTCTTAATTCAAGAACAAATCCAGCCTCAGATTTTCGAAAAAATTAAGAACAGTCAGCCTGAACTTAAATTTACTGGTTCTTATAAAAAAAGAGTGTCTGAAATAAACTAATGCAAAATATCTTCGAAGGAACAGCCGCATATTATGATCAAATGCATACAAAAATCTATAGACCTTACCCACATAAATTGAATATTCACTCTATTTGTGTACAAAATAGGGGTTTGGTTAAACATCCACAAAGATACCCATTTTGAATCTAAAAGAGCATGAGCCTAAGGGATAGGTAGCTATCCACTGCGCGCCTGGACACCATTATTCATGGAATCGATACACGTAATTTCAAGACTAGACGGGACAACAAACATTTAGTTACCCTTAACTTACACGTGTTGTTAGCTTCAGTCCTTCAGTCAGTCTTGACGATTCCTACCTCTTCAAGACTCCCCAACCCCCCTCCCTCTGTCTACGTCATCAAAAGTCGAAACGGCAAAAAAGAGGAATCTCAACAGAATATTTTCTGCACCACAGGGGAGCGGGGATGTAAGAATTTTATTGAAAATATCAGTCTTAAAAACTAAAACGTCCGTTGCTGCCTGACCTCTGTTTTCCTAAATTCATTACTTCATTTCTTTTCTCTAAGCTTTTTGAAGTAAAGTAAAATTGAATTAAATGCCTCTACATTGTAGTCCTTTCTGGGATAAAGCCAATCTTTTCAAGCTTTCATTTATCAATCTCGTTTAAATATTGTGCACGAAATTTCCATCTTAAAGTCCACAATAAAAGTTTTCGTTGAGTTTCTGAAAATCCTAGTGCTGGATGATAAGACGAGAAACGAAGACCTCTTGAAAATTTCAATATCAGGTTTGAAATTTGTTGACAGCACAGTGGAATCTCCGACGAACAATTCATTAATTACATGCAAACAACAGAATAAAATGGATAAATATAAAATAATTAAAGTTATACGAAAATAATCAAAGGAAAAGAAAGTAATAAAAATAATTCAACGAAAAATTTCAAAGAATCATTAACAGTAAACAAATATTATAATCAACAAAACATATAAAGAATAAAGTCATGAATTAATGTAAAACAATAAATAATAAGAAAATTATTGAAGAAACTGGCGGCTTTTATCAAAATAAAACTAATAAAAAATAATCAAAAAGGCATCAGGAAAATCAAGAAACAGTCACACAATAATCAACGAAAAATCGTTTCGAACTGAATTAGGGTTCAGGAACAAAAACGGACATGGTTAAGAAAAGTATCGCCTGGATTGAGGGGGCCGGGGCAGCCATAGCCCCCCCCCCACTTTTTTGCAAAACAATCGAGCTTTTTTCAAAATCTTTTGTTATGAGTGTTCAATTTTCTCTTGGCTCCCCCAATTTCCAACCTGTGTCGAAGCTGTTCCAAGTTGTTTTAATGCCAGGATTTTTAATGCCGTTATTACTGAAAATTTTAGGACTAGTAAAATGTCAGAACTTTTGCTCTGATTGAAACTTAGTATACCGGGGCGAAATATTAGCTTCCCGAAATGATATATGGGCGGACATGAACAATCCGGAGAGGTACCATGTGTTGGTTGATGTCATATTTGTGGAAGAGCGTTCCCTGACCCTGGGTAAGCTGCGATTCGTTGATGCAGTTAAAAGTCCTCAACGTGTATGACACAAGGTCAATCGGATTATCCGAACCGGATTCTTAATCTTCGCCTTATTTGTTTTTATCGCTGTTTGTTCTCGGCGCATTGCAGTGTTCCTTATTTTCTACAATTTTTATCGACTTTTAGCTGCAAGCATTCAATTGGAGTGCGTCGAACAGCCTTCTACCCTGGCCTTTCCTTCATTTGCGTACAAAATGTCAAAACCCGTATCACTCTAAAGCTAAACCTCAGTGTTTTCAGAATGCTTTTGAAAAAGTGACAAAGTTAAGAAGCAAGTTTCAAAAAGCCAATACAAGCATTTTGATGTCAACAACCCTTTTTACAGAACCACAATAACAAGTGACAAAAAAGTGACAAGTTGCTCAATAAAGCAATGCCATGATTTGATATTTGTGTAGGCAAAAGAAAACTTACCATGTTTTGTAGCTTTAGTTTTATGGCAGCCATACACCGCTCGAATTTTTCTTTGAGAAACTCTGCTGGTTGACTAGGCAGCTAAAATATAAGCAAAGTTCTCAAGTGATGTGTTCATGTTGGCAAATAGAAGGCCGAAGAGCAATCCCAGGTTTGAGCATAGTCAATAGAAAAAACTCTGGTCTGGAAGCCTATTGTTCCGTTCTTTTGTTCTCCAAGCGAACTTGAAATCAAATTTATTTTTATCACGTGATCTAAGTAAGGGGACAAGATGAAATGTTCTGTTGCCTCACAATGGCGGATGCACAAGACAGAGAAGAAACTCCGGAAATTTTCGTTGACATGTTGGATGAAGAACTGTTGGATCAAATGTTCCAGGAAGATATTAGCGCTGTGGAAGAGGACTTGAACATTCAAGAGGTTTCAGTATATTTTACTTGCGGTAAATGCGATAAAGGTTACAAGACAAAAGGCGGCCTAAATCGACACACCAGAGCAAAACATGGTGAGAGAAGCACCAAAGAAGCTGACGGAAGTGCAACATGCGAACTTACGTCAACTGGTATATTTGATCTTGTCAAGAAAACCAAAGATGAGTTGTGTCAAAATGAATGCTACCCAAAAACCATGCGGGATACGATTGCTGATTGCCAGTTTCAACCAAGCGAACACCTGCTCGGTGAACTAAAAATCGCTTTTGCCATTCTAAAAAAATATGCTGATGGTGAGAAGTTTTATTCATTTTTCTACGGGAAAATTGTGATAAACGCTGGTACACTAATCCCAGATCTGCCTCCACCAATGTGCACACTAATGGCCAAAAAACTTGGAGACAATGTTTTGCATTATTTCAAGAAACAGAAGCAACTGCCTTGCCAAAAACCGCATTCCCCAATCAGTGCCAAAGAAATGGATGGACTACAGTATCTTGCTGGATATGTAGTGAGCAGATTTTTGAAAAGAATTAAAAACAGCCCTAATTACATGTCAGAGTCCAGCCAGTCACTCTTATCAGTATTGAACAATTTTGTTGAAGAAAATAATACATCACAGAGGTTGATTGCCAGTCAGACAAGAGGAGGGTTAATTGCTGTGAAAAATGAGGTACAGAAAATCTTCTTGTGTGCAGAAAAAACTTTCAGAGCCCACACTTCAACACCAAATATTGTTAGGAAAATAGCTTTACAGCCCATGGTAGACCATCTACTGTTTGATACTGAAGTCATTAGCATGTATAACTGCCTTATAGAAAATGCCACTTTACCAATAGACTTCGAGGTAAAAAACAATTTGTTGGAAAACATGCTGAAGTTGTACCTTCGTGTCAGGTCATTTTCTTTTGCAAGAGATGTTGCAGGAAACCACTTGTATGCTTCAAGAAAGGTGAAAACAAAAGCTTTGCGGAAAGACATTAAAAAAGCAACAGATAAACCAGGCATTAATAATTAACAAATCATTGTGTAGTAACACATGGGGTCATTCAAAAAGTAGGTTTCTCAGAGAGAGGGAGGTGTCAGCTATAAACAGACAAAGGGTTTGGGTGGCTATCGATCTTAATTGTTACTTTCACTCCAAAATAACCAATTATCTATATCAAGAAAATCACTCATATATACATGGAATTTAGAAAGGAACACTGGGTGAGCTGAAAGTAACTAACAAGTAAATTGTAAAACTAAATGCTTTAGACGACTGTTTTTAGTGTTCTATCTTTTCTTTAAAGGTTGGTTATCAACAATGTACCATGAAGGCTTGCGTTTTTGTTGGTGTGCTCCTACAGTGTTGCCTGTAACAGGAACTACTGATCTCTGCATTCGTATAATGTTGTCATTGTACCCAAATTGATATAATGAAGGGTTATCATTTCTTCTGCCCAAACCTCTTTGTCTACCAAAATACTCCTCTAGGACATCTTGATTGAATTTCTCTGTTAACACAAATTCAAAACCACTTTGCAGCAGAAATTTTGTAGCTTCAATGACAGAATGAACTGTGATTCTTATTCCTTCATAAGTCTGAGCAGACAAGAACATTTTGGCTTTGGCATCATTTGAAAAACCTTCACGCTTCTTTATACTTTCTTTCCAGTCTGCTAGATACTTTAAAAAGGAGTTTTCCAGCCATTCAAATCTTTCATCATTGACACTGCGGTATGGCAGTAAAAACTGCTTTCGCTTTTTTACACCTTCTACTTGATTCCTTACATTTAGTGAATCAAAAAATCTATCCATGTTTTCACAAAGGACTGCTGTTGCATGCATTGATTCTGGGTAGTATTCTTTGAGGATCTTTCCAACTGAATCACTAAGTAATTGAACTGCCAGTCGTACATTCATACAGGAATATGGATTTAAAACTATATGCTCTTGTGACAGCTTTGAAATACTTTTCAAACCACATCCCATTTCATCACGAACAACCTTACAAAAATGATTCCATACAATGTGCTTCCCATCATTCCACATGTATCGTGTTTTTCCTTCACCTGGCAATAAAGAAACTGTTTAAAAATTGGAGAAAATGCAGAAGGAACAGATAGGGAAACATTTTGCTTTGCTTCATCAGTAATAATCAGTATATATATAAATATATACTATCAAAAGCCCCAAGTCTCCATCAATAATATAATCTATATAATATATAAGAACACATTATATAAATTACAAATATATATGCTTCTACAAATGGGATAAAAATGAGTATAAACATAGTGAGATCTGTATGTATATTCATTTAAAATATGAAATGGTCCACAAAATATTTTGCATGTTAAATTTTGCTGCAAGATATCAAGTTACATATTTAATAGTTTCTTACCCGAATGATAAACACAGTTTCGAGTTGTCTTCAGCAAATGGGGTGCATCAGAAAAGAACCATATGTATCTATCCAGTGCAAACAAATTTATGGTACGGTGAACAACATCTGCACCTCCCTTTCCATCCAACATATCATGCATTTTGTAAAACTTTCTATTGCATGAAGCTCCATCTGAAACTGCAGCAATGACAGGCAATTTGCAGGTCAGCTCCAGTATAGCAACTGCTTCCCAAAAAGTTGTCATAATTTGGTATGCTGTAACTCCTCTTGTAGCAAAATACGCAAAGCTGAATTTCAAGTCTGATGCCAAACCTCTCACATAGTATACCAGGGCATGACTGGCTAACTGGTCAACATCATCAAAGCAAGAGTAATTTAGATCTGCATTACCCAAATCAACAAATCCAATTAGTTCTCCATTATTTTTGTTGTACACTAAATTCTCCTGAACTTTCACCTCATCAATTGAAATAACGATGTAACGTTGAACACCTTTTAGCATTGAAGCCGTTTCAATGAGCTCATTGATCACTTCAGAGTTAAAACCTGTCTTAGGTCTTATTGCATTTCGATAGTCCCTTAATGTTCTACGACTTGGCAGAGTCAGTATATTTGTATGTCTAAGTTCATCATAGACAGACGCAGATTTTGATGCCAGGGACAGGCAAAAGCGTATTATCATTGGGTGATACTTCTTACTTCCGCTTTGCAGAAGTTTAGTTTGCTGATCCCAAAAAAGTTTCATGAATGGTGATGCATTCTCTCTGTTGCTGGCCATAATCCCAAAAATGTCACTTGAAAGATCATCATCAATTTCAACACCTGCAAACTTTATTTCTTTTTCCATTCTTTGAATTTGAACTTTCAATTTTGAAGACTTCAACCTCTCTTCTTGCAAGGCTAACTTCACCCTATTTGGGTGTGTCTGTGACAATGGGGCATTGGGATGTGCAGGAGTATTATGCTTGCTTTGTTTAGACAACTGTGCCTTTTTAATTTGCTTAGTTGATTCATTGCAGGAAGGACATACTTCTGCACTTCTTGTTAGAAAAGAGCAATCTTTTGCCCTCAAATAATGTTTGGGTTGACTAGGGTTGTCATCACTCTTTTCTAGCTCAAGTTCACATGGAATGTGATGAGTTACCAGTGAATCTGATCTGACATCTACAACACCTAAACAAAGTTTTAAGCTGGACAAGTCATTCAGAAACTTCGAAATTGTGATGTTTCTGAGGGATCTTTTGCTTTCCTTATACAAAAAATGGTCGTCTGGCAAAAGATGGCCATAGGCAGCACAGGTGTATGCCAAGCTCTCATCTACAATGACCTCTAATTGAGGAATAATGTATGGCCTTTCAAAAAATTTGAATGTTAATTTGTTTGGACTGTTGGCGATAATCCAGCCATTAGATTGTAGCTTTAATTTCCCAACACGTGCTGCAAACTCATTGAAGTGTTTGTAAGAAGGAACACTGTGTTGTAAACTAGCAACACTGTCCTTGACAATGCTAAGATGGCGTCTTTCTGCTGCTGTTGGTTGTTGAAAAGACTTCAATGGAAGATTTATTCTTGGTAGTGCACCAAATATCAAAGACTTCCGTCCAGTTTCTGCAAAAAAGGGGAAGAATATTTCACTATTTATTTCGTAAATTAACTTTATACAGCAAAATTATACACACTTTTAAGTATCAAATTTTTTGGAAATGTTTAAGTAGGCAGACAGACAACTATGCCTGTATCGCAGACAGAATCATGATGGCATAATGACATTTTTCAAACATTGCACTTCAAGGCAACTTACTACAAAATAAAAAACTTACAGGTGTCTTAAAAGTGTAATGTTTAAAAGCTTTCTTTTTCATGTTATTTCATAAATTCAATGCTCTTATAAGGTCAAGGGCATTTAGGATCGTTCGAGGAATCGTTATACCTTTAGGCCCATTTGTTTGTTCGTATTTACATACAACAAACAATTACTTTTCGAAAAATTTAAATATAACATTGATTTATTAACTCACTAGTAAGCTCAATATCTCCTTTCTGGTAATGTTTCTCGCAAATATAAATATTCCCAGATTCGATTTGACGTTTGAAATCGCTGTCGACTGTCCTGTACTTCTTGACGATGTTCAAAGTCTCGCTTCTCCAATCTATGAAATCTTGCGATTTTCGCTGTGAAACTCGAAAAAGTCCAACTCCACCGTAGGAATGTCGACGAGAAGTTCCACAACCTGGGATTGCACAATTTGAACCGACCATAGTTCTCAAAATATCACCAACATCTTCGCAATACGCTCAAAACTCAACAACAATCCCTCTATTCCAATTTTGCCGCGTCCCCTTACTTAGATCACGTGATTGCAATAAACACGAACAAAGAGTTAGAACAATAGGCTTCCAGACCAGAGTTTTTTCTATTGACTATGGTTTGAGAGATGATATCTAACATGATCCGGCGGTAAATAGGGGAACAAAAGCCGATCATGCTGAGTGAGCTCAACACATGACTCAGGGATACGACACCGATATCATGAACCCTGCACCGGAGGGGAAATCGAGTTCCTAACTTTGAGGCCCTTTGACGTCACAACAAAGATTTTCTTTAGAATGTTGGATTTTGATTAGATATTATAAAAGAACTCTATATAATGCTTCCAAATATGCAAAAATAAGTCGATGAGTCAAAACTTGGGTGAGCTATGGCCAATAGAAGATTTGAAGTTTGCTAACGGATTACTGTCATTTTGGCTCTGTTTCTACAGTTACGAATAGAAACCAAATTTATTGTGATATCATCACTTAAAAACTCTATTCACACATGCCAACAGCTTACGAGATTTCCATGAAAACAAAAGGATTTTCAGAGATTTTCAGTTACAACAATAAGATTTCCACCAAAGGTGTGCGAGATTTTCATAGAGCGATTTGCCTCTCGCCTAGCATAAGGGCGAATAAAAATTAACATGGACGAAGCCACAATGTCTTACTTTTTAGACACTTATTTTTAGAGACAATGATATTTGCGTTTGAAAAGACACTTGAATCTCATGCCGAGAAAGGGTCAAAGAATTCAGGCAGAGGTGGCGCAAGAAATCTTCTGACAGAGGGACTTGGAGCTTCCGACAGGGGGGCTAAAATGATTAAAATAAACAGTTTTCGTACGTTATTTTGTCAAATTTGCTCCGATGGGGGGGGCTAGATGCTTCCGACGGAGGGGCTGTAGCCCCCCTAGCCCTCCCCTGGCGCCACCACTGAGTTCAGGGCAGGACTCAGGACAGAGAAACAGAAGTTACGAGGTTGTGTCAATAAGGATATAAGGACATTAAAGGTGCCACAGTTGATGCAGAAAGTACGAGTCTTTATGAATGGCTCCGCGACAATAAGCTCTCATTCGACGATTAAAATTCAAGATATGGTAATGGTTCAAAACAGAAACTAAGCAAAATGAGAAAAGCTATCATTCCGAGGCAGGGAATCATGATGTTAGTCTTGTGAATCAAACCAAATATCTTGGTATAATTATTGATGAGAACTTAAAATGGCATCGCAAATGAATAACATCCAGACCAAAATTTTGCAGGCTATTGGCCTCCCGACAATTTCCCCCTCCTATTTCTAATTTTTTCTACCTAAATTTTCTTCGAATTCAAATCAAGGCCGGCCGGAGTTATTGATAAGAAGTTTGCGGTTATACATTCCGTCGGAAAACGTTCACACGGTAACTTAATTTCAACGCAATATGTTTTACCGCGTTTCAGGGTCATTCGGTCACACAGATTCATAGGGTAACGCGGTTTCGCAGCATCTCAGTTCACTCTGCTGTCGTACGGTTTCATGACCAAGCGGTCACTCAGTCAATCAGTTCTGAGGTCTCGTGGCCCCTCAGTTTAATGGTCACAATTTCCCTGAGTCAATGAGTAATGGGGTCTCAAAGTTTAATTTTAAAGTTAAAACCATCAAATACAGCACCATATTATAAATAAATAAAATCTTTCACAATTCATCAATTTAAAATTCAAGGCAACAGCTGGCTTCGTGATGATCAACGCGCCTGTCAAGCTGGAACAAATTTCTACTTATGTTAGTATGCATTAGTATCCGAACTATTGTGACACTTTGTTACTATCACAATGAGATGCAAGCAAATAAATAAAACAACTTTTTTGCATCATTTTGTTACTACAGTCTACTGATTAAAAATACTTTTTACCGAATCAAAGCAACATTTGCCGAAGAACACAAACATAGAGTATGTGGGGGGAGGGGGGTCGCACTCCCCACACCCCCAGTAAACCCGTCCCTGACCAGGACAGATTCGGAACCAACGACCAGCAACGTCGTTGCTCTATCAACAAACTTACCCGGTCACGTGAAAAGAAGGGAACGACAAAGTAAATATGTGAGTTCTAGTCTAAGCAAAGGGCTCTAGATTAAAAAGATCGATCGTGCTCAAAACACGCGTAAATATCTAAGATAAAGCAAAACTTAAGGATACCAACCTCAGATTCTGGCAGCAAATCGCCTGGAACTGGAAACATCTCTAGAATATCGCGTAGACTGTTTTCGTGTTTTGCCACAGTTTCAGACAATGAATTCTGCAACCAGTTAACATTAAAAAATAACTACTCAACTGTTAAGAGCTTAGAAAACAATGAACCATTTTTACCTGGCAGGAAACCTGCAATTTTTACTGTTGGAACAGCATCTGAGAGCGTACTTAGTAAAATGAATTTTTTGATGACCTTTTTCAAGCTCAGAGCATGCTGGTAAAGTGAACGATATCATTGATAGCTTTTCGATAAGTGAAACAGCTGCAATGGACAGTCCTAAAATAATATTCAACCAAATTGCCACATCCATTGTTTTGAAAAATTAGATTGAATCAGCCGGATGGTTTCAAAATACTCACAGGCTCTGAGAGCTTGAAGTACAATCTTAAAGAAATGCTCAAAAAGTTCAAAATAAGAAGAAATCAGAGGCATCAAAATAAGAAAAATAAATCGCATTGTTCATAAAATAGAAAAATCTCATAGAAATGTTCTCTGAATTCACACAAGTTAATCAACGCAAAATGTGCTCCACAAAATAACTAAAATACTGAAAAATACGGAATTTCAAAGGATGTGCAGGATTTTTCTGTTTCAAAATTACAAACCTCGAGTCTCTTTATTTCATCGTTGCGTTTTTGTAGTGTGTTTTCCTTCACTTCTACAGTATCTTCAAGCTCAAAAACCTTTCCTAAGAAAAAGAATGAAATATATGGATTATAAAATTGCGATCTTAAGAACATCTATTTATAAATATATCACAATTTGACAAAGGTAGCTTCTGTGACGATTCTTTTTTTTCTATTTAAACACAGTAAATCGTCTATTTATTAGATATTCGAAACAAATTAGGAATAAATTTCGAAACAAATTAATTAGATCGATCGTGCTTCAAAATAAAATAATTAGACATCAATTTTCAATATTATCTTATGTAAGTCATGATAGCTAACCTTTACTTTTATAGTGAAATATACACAAATTATATAATGAAAATTACTGTTTACCGGTCTGTCATAAAGTGCACGATTGTATTGTAATGTAGATTATTTAATGTTAGTTTCTACAATAATGAATATACACTAAATAAGACTAACGTGAAGCAATTTCAAGAATTGCATAAGACAGTTCATTTACTGCAAAATGAGCATGCGCACTTGTTTTCAAAGAACTAAGTTTTGATCAAATTCTTAAATTGTCTAGTATTTTGTGCTGTCTTTATTGATTCCGAGAGTGAATTCCAGATTTTAGGCCCTTGAAAACATACCATGATCTGATACCATTATTGGTAGTTCTGGCTTTTGGACAGACACCGTATAGACAGAGCTGTACAGAGTTGCCTGTTGATCTCATGAAACTTTATACTCTAATAAGAAACTTAAAACCTTCCTGTTTTCTACACTTAAAAGCCTACAAATTAAGTAAATGATTACGAATTCAGAATAGGGCACTTACGCATGTGTTCGCGATCTCTTGCTTCTAGATTTGCAACCAAGCTTCAAAGACAATAAAAATTCCAAAAAATTATCTATGATGGTACCAATCCAACAAAACAGATTGGAATACCAGGAAACATGTGTTATTCGCTATTAATTGGAAAGTTGGTTTTTGAAATTACAACTTTTGTCCTTAATTTTGATTAAAAGCAACGATACATTCAAATACTGTCACAGTTTTGAAATGAATTGAATTTGAAATGAATTTGAAATGAATGAACTGAAATGTCACTGCCTCAAATTGAAGCAAAGTATACCTCGTCTATTGTCATTTGCTACTTTAAAGTAAATGAGCATGTTGTTTGTCATAGAAGCAAGCTTTTACGATAATGTTTTTCTCGGCAGATGCTAGTAAAGTCTTCGCCCACAGAAAGTAATTTTTGTTAGGTGTTTTTCCATAATACAATCCACGAGATGACGTCGGTCTCCTCCCCCTTAATGGATTTAAATCAATGAGCAGGTGCAACACTAATTGAAATACAAAATGCTTGACTTGATTACTCGGTTAGGTCCTTTATCCGTTGTACAGCCTCGTTTTTAGCATCAACGTCGTCATCCTACAAAAAAGAAATATACATTTGAATGTAAATTATCTGATAATATCAAAAGAAAATACTTCCACTTCCCATGTTAAAATAATGCAATTCTGTTAACAGCCTAATGCGAAATGTCAGCTACAAATCGCATTGTGAAAAAACTACATTTATACAAACGTTCTTAGAATATCTACTCACAATCTTCAATGATTGAAAGAGTGAAAAGAAAAGTTAAGATTTGATCTTAATTCTACCAGAAAACTTTTGATGACTTTGGTAATAACGGCTAAGGACACGAAGGCTGCTGATTTATTCCGCAGTGAAAGAGTGCTTGAAAGTTAATTTTTGTTGCCAATGCCTAATTTGCATTCCAGCAAAAAACATAGTCACCAAAGATATTAAACAAATTTAAGCTTTTTTCTCACTTTTGCAATGAATGTGTGCTCAATAATTAATTCGAGGTTTAAGCCTAAACAAACTCTTAAACCACGACTGCTGGAACAAAAGCGAGGAATACAACGCCAGCTAAGTATCAGTTGACGTAATCCGTTCCAATATGGTTTTTTTAAAAAAAGTCAAAACAGGAGCTGGTACAAGCAAAAGCAAGACTGCGTCGGATATATACCAAGGTATATCGTCAAGGATATATGACAAGGTATATCGCATCGTCAAGGATATATGACAAGGTATATCGCATCGTCAAGGATATATGACAAGGTATATCGTCAATGATATATGACAAGGTTTATCGTCATAGATATATGACAAGGTTTATCGTCAAGGATATATGACAAGGTATATCGCATCGTCAAGGATATATGACAAGGTATATCGCATCGTCAAGGATATATGACAAGGTATATCGTCAATGATATATGACAAGGTTTATCGTCATAGATATATGACAAGGTTTATCGTCAAGGATATATGACAAGGTATATCGCATCGTCAAGGATATATGACAAGGTATATCGCATCGTCAAGGATATATGACAAGGTATATCGTCAATGATATATGACAAGGTTTATCGTCATAGATATATGACAAGGTTTATCGTCAAGGATATATGACAAGGTATATCGCATCGTCAAGGATATATGACAAGGTATATCGCATCGTCAAGGATATATGACAAGGTATATCGTCAATGATATATGACAAGGTTTATCGTCATAGATATATGACAAGGTTTATCGTCAAGGATATATGACAAGGTATATCGCATCGTCAAGGATATATGACAAGGTATATCGCATCGTCAAGGATATATGACAAGGTTTATCGTCAAGGATATATGACAAGGTTTATCGTCAAGGATATATGACAAGGTTTATCGTCAAGGATATATGACAAGGTATATCGCATCGTCAAGGATTAATGACAAGGTATATCGTCAAGGATATATGACAAGGTATATCGTCAAGGATATATGACAAGGTTTATCGTCAAGGATATATGACAAGGTTTATCGTCAAGGATATATGACAAGGTATATCGCATTGTCAAGGATTAATGACAAGGTATATCGTCAAGGATATATGACAAGGTATATCGTCAAGGATATATGACAAGGTATATCGTCAAGGATATATGACAAGGTTTATCGTCAAGGATATATGACAAGGTTTATCGTCAAGGATATATGACAAGGTTTATCGTCAAGGAAATATGACAAAGTATATCGTCAAGGATATACGAAGTTCGCGCGATACACGAAACGCGAATGTGATACAGTAGGACTTGGACTAACAGAGACCTTTGGCAGCCCCCCCCCCCCCCACCGAGGCGATTGACGGCCAAAATGTTTCTTTTTTATGCACCCAATTTTTAAGCTGGCACATCCCATTTTTGGGACCAGTATTTTTACAACGAATTGAGAATGACAGTCCCATGCAATTGATAAAATATGTAGACTTAGTTGCAGATACAGAAAATGACCAATGCTGAAACCTGGAAGGAAACAAGCTCACTGTCAAACGTAAGACTAAGTTTTTGATAACATGGAAGGTGATTCATCAAACAACATTGAGCAATGGGCAGCTTCTATAACCGTAAAGACATACAAAAGCAGTGTATGTAAAATATGCTGCTTAAAATAGACACAGAGTTTATTTATCAATTAAGTAAATCTTTTTGATATAGGCTTTAGCTAGCATGCACTAACAATAACGTACCTTTTCACAAAACGTCTCTGTCTTCTTCAGTTTATGTAGCTCTTCCCTTGAGAAATAAAATCACGATGAAATTAGAAAACAATGTCATCATCATATAAAGGATATAAAACTGAGCAAAAACTTAGAAAGCATTGAAAATCTTAATTCCAAAGTACTCTGCTTTGTCTGGTGAGAATGGAAGGTATAGACGCTCTACTTACGTCTCATCAAAAACTAATCTGTGTATAAGTTCAAAAGCTTTAACAGAGCTTGGTTAGCAGTAGCAAAATACTTACACTGATGTTAAGCTTCTTTTCAGAAGGCATTCAGTATATATGCATTGAAGACGTTTGGATCACATTAATAAATAAATATCCACAAATGAAATCATTAACTAGGGTTATTCCAAATATGCAGGTAACCTTTAAAACATCCTCTTTATTTGTAGAAACAAATGCAATATCAAAAAACTCAAAACAAAAATATAATTAATTGAACTCTCACTGCAAGGCCTGATTCTTTTCTTGCTCCTCTTCAAGCTTAACAGGGAAAAACAAATACGACAAAGTAATAATAAAAATAATATCAATTGAGAATTCAAGATACAAATGAATCAGTGTAACAGCAAGCAATATTTAATCATATTTAGTGATCTAGTATGTCAGCGCTGGATTGAAATTTCTCATTATTCAGGTAACACTGATAGAGCCCCAGTTGTGAAGAGACGCATCATAGATTATAAGATCCAAATCACTTTAATTCTATCCTTACTTTTTACCCAAAAATATCATTATTGCTGGAACGCCAATAGCACCGGCAACCTCTTTTCCACGAGTAGGTATTAGCAATCTGAATTGTTCTTGAGGCTTTCAACTCAAAAATTTCGATTTTATTTCTAGGAGTGCATTTTCACGAAAATCAATAATTTGATAGCAACGTAAATATTCATGTATGACTCACAAAAAGATCGTCATGAGAGGACACGTAACGGGAGTTAACGAAAGATTTGCTCTCAAAGGTTCCTCTCGTTTCATACACAGTTCATCAAAACTGGCACGAGAAAATCGAACAGGTTGTGACAAAAGACAATAGGCGTTGCAACTCCTTGCGCCAATAAAAGTCTTTAACTCACTGAAAAGCCCTACAATCTCCACCGTCTTCTCAAATTCCCTTACCTTGTAGAAACAGACCAAAAAAGGCAGCCATTTTGAAAAATGCTTCTCAATTGTATGTGAATCAGATTATAAAAGAATGAGTAAAGGAGGCTGAAAGACTTGTTAACTGATCGCAAAGAAAAAGTCAGTGGAAAAAAACCAAATAGAAAAAACTGTGGAAGCTAAAATGAACCACCTGTGTTAACTGAGAACTTTGTAAAACATCAATCAAATTTGCTTTACGTTGATCAGAACACAATGAGATTTCTAAAATTAACCTCCATTTGGCTTTCTCTATAAAAATTCAATTGGGTTTGATTTTGATAAAACATAATCGCCTGCGTCCAGACGCTAAAAAGATTGGTAGAGCTATTATTACACAGTCAATGAGAACAACTGAAAAATGGCCTTGATGTGATCTTTATAAATAAACTTGAAAGAGAATGAACCGATGATCCTCATGGACAACGTTAGGAGCCACGCCTTCACGTCTAGAAGAATTCACAACGTCTCCGAACAAAATTATTCACATCTACTTGTAAAAAGATACAATAGAAACCAGACGAAGGCAGAATGATTAGCAAAAGTTAGTATTCTGCGTCTAAATAAAATATTGAGAAAAATATATAATATAATAAAATACAATACAATATAATATAATATAACATAATATAATTCAATTGACATGATGCGACAAAAAGTAGTGTTATTGAATTTACCTCTATCGTTAATTTTTCTTTTTCTGTCCTCAGTTCTTCGACAATAGCCTTCTCTTTCTGAATATCCTCAATCAATTCGTTAACTCTAGAACATCCAAATATGTTCTACTTTAGAAATTCATGTTATATATAAGATTCAATACCTAAGATTGTCAGTAACAGAAAGACTTTGCATCAAAGATGGTGTCAGTATAATTGAAAAATTTCAATTGAATTAATAGTTCCTTTTTAAGCCTAATTTTGTACCAAATGGTTCCACTTGTTTCACAAAAAAGACAATTTTTATGCAAAAACGTCACTTAGGTTGTAAATAAAACTGCAAAATAGAATCAAGGAAAAGTCAACAGCAAAATAACTTGAAAACCGGAAAAGCACTAAGTCTATAATCCGATGCAATGTTTTTAATTTTAAAAATATTAAAGCTAATTGCATGTATATGACTATACCAGGTGAATAATGGTAATTTTTGAGAAGGAAGAAATAATTTTTCAGATCGGAGTTTGAAGCAGTCACTGTTCCTCCGAATGTTTTCATGCTAAAATTTTACAAATGATCGTGCATTTGCAACAGCGGCGAACACGAGTATCAGGTTAAAAGCTAAAAAGCGACGAGGAATCTCTTGTTTTTTATTTTTAAACAAGATAATACTTTTGAAGAGCCATTTCAATCCCATGAGCGAAACCAGATTAAGTTCATCGCGATCGCAGATATAACAGGATTAAAGGGTCACCATTGATAAATTGCACTTGGATTTTATGTTACTAAAATATTTGGCGTTCATGAAATGAAGCGCTGAAACTGTGACATTGAAAGGTCAAATGATTTGGAGCAGGTACGAAAGCTCAAAGGATTAACAATAACACGAATTTTAGAAATAGATAAATCGAACAAAACATGAGGATAATTTCAAATTTTTATTATTTGGTGCCCTTCATAATAAGAATAAAAATGGTGGTTAAGGTCTTACAAGAACACTTTTATAGATATATCCAAATCAAATTATTTCTGCTATTCTTGCAATATCTCATTACAAACTTTGAAAAAGCTTAACATATGAAGAGCTGTAGATAAAGTGTACTTATTCTTCGAACTTGTACGAATAATAATGGCAATTGCATACGAAAAAAGATCTGTACCTTTGCTCCATTTCTTCCCCTGATATCGATATATCTCCAATCTTCTGCAATGCCTTCTCTCGGCTTTCTGTCAGCTTTTTGTTTTCAGCTAACAGATAAAGATAAAATTTTGGAATCACCATGTGAAAATACGTGTCCAAAAAGTATTTGTTCAAAGATTATTTGTTCGTTCAAGTTAAAGAATCCAGTCATGGAATAGCGTTTCGTTTTCACACGAATATTAAAATGCCGCAACTGGAATATTTAAAGACGACAAAAATCTTATCTCGGCCAGCTATGGCGGGGATAATTGTCCAGCTGTGCTCCGACTTGAGTCGGATGAAGCGAACAGCCGCGAGAATGACAACGGTTGACAATACCAGCATGAAAAAGCTCAAAGCTTAACTGAGATGATTAAAGAATCTGATTCAATGTTGTGAAACATAAATTGTTACTTTCTGCAGCACAGCTTTTAGCAAAAGAATACTGTTTTAAACGAAAATCATCAAATACCCATCAATAGCCAACTATCGTTCTCTTGTAACAATGCAAGGCTTATTCGTGCTTTCTCTTTTTGTTGTATTAATGGACCACTTTTGTTCATACATACTCAAATTGTTCCCAATCTAACCAATGAAATTGGCGAAATTTCTCTAGATCTATTGTATCGAGTTCACTAACTAAATTTGCCAAAAAAGCCCTTGCTAGTCCCTCTCGAAATTTCCTGGCAGCTTATTGTTGTCCATTGTCTGCTATGATTGTCAGTTATTTGATGTTTATGCTTCATTGTTTCAAGGAGAGATGTGTTCTTGGTCATTGACTTTGCATAAAAAAGTTCTCTGACGAGGTGGTTGTGTAGCAAGAGAACTGGACAAACTTTAGTTATCAAGTCCAAGGAAAGATGACAGGTCTACGAGCTACTTCCGTAAAGATTATTGAAAACAGAACTAACGAAAATGCCACATGTATATATGTATATAATTATTTAGCCTGGACAACACTGTACACAACAAAAGGTTGGCATAGATAGTGGTCCATCAAACTTTATACAAGGAATTGATGTGATTCCCCTTGGAAAAACACTTGCATGCTAAAAAATTTCCAGGAAACTGCTAACAAGAATTACATGTAATGTGGAAAAAGGCAATGAGATGAACAAAAGCGTGTTCTATTCATTTTATTTGGAAAAAGGCAATTATAGCTTAAAATCCATGACTACGACAAAAGAAGAATAATGGTTGAACATTGGAATAGAACGCAAGATTCGTTACAAGTCATCACGAAAGATTGCGAAAGTTTGTGTCACCGTAATTACCTCTGGAGCAACCTGCAATTATGAAAAAGTTTAGAGGACAGATTTCAATTTGATCCATTATAATCCTGCATCGCTGGGTGCAAGTGCTATTCTTATCAATTCCTAGATTTAAGTTTGGCAAATGAATTCTAGCAGAAAATGCTACTTAAGATAAACTATTTATGAGAACACTTTTCGCAACCTTAATGCGAAAGTAAACTTGCGAATGGAGGAGTGGAGCAAAAGACAACCGCTGTTGGGATGACAAACAAGAGTAATGAGTGAGGCAGCCCCCCCCCCCCTTCTCAGCTTCAAAGTGCATGCACATTATCACACTTGTACATGCTATTCTTGTACCCACAGAGGGGGGACGACTCACTAATTAGAATACTTTGGCTTGCTCATCTTCCAACAAACCTTTTCAGACACTTGCATATCGTGGTTTTTCTTCACTTTATGAAATGAAGAGCCGTGAATTATTAATTGCCTAAATCAGAGAACGACATTATCAACAACGTGTTTCATATACGTAGGTCCATCCACAGAGAAAAATGGTTCTTACATCGATTAGACTGAGATACAGCACTCTGGACAACAGAAGCAGAAGTTTTGTTAAATTACGGAGATACGCACGCTGCAAATTTCAAGCCAGCTGCCGATCTACATTGGAAAAAGACTGATTCGAATAAAGTTCTGTCTTATCTATGGGCTTATCCTTGGTTCTTTTTGTGTTTCGGTTAAATACGTCTCAAGATTTTTACTCTAAAATCCTTAATGTTGTACCGTTTAGGTCGCAAACATTAGATGCAGACGTCCCGATGTATCTATGCTGCAAATAATTCCTACATTTTTAACTCTGTATCTTTCTTGCTTACTCTGAGTCGTTCTCTAAACACATCTTCACTTCCCAGTCTTCTAGTTGCGTCTTTTCAACAATCGAACTCATTAAACCAAAAGAAACATAAGACAACCCAAGGAACATCACTTCCAACAACACGGCCATGTGTCACATAAATACTTTCCCTTACGGCTACTGACGTCACATTCAATGTGCTAAGCACGCTAAAATCTCGCGTTTTAGCACGACAGGCTCTCGCGTTATTAACACGTTGAATTTGCGTGTTCTTAGCACCATCTATATACATATTTCTTTGGTCAAGATAGCTCGCTGCAATTCCAGGCGTGGTGTGGTCACATCGAGAGGAAGAACCAGGACACTGCTCGATAAGCCTAGCTTTTCAGAGTCCTAAGAACTACAAAAATACAAAAATAAAGGCTGCCTTTAGTCTCCCAGTATCAACAGAGAGGATACGTCTGCTGCAGTGTGGACAGGATGGCAGCTTCTAATTGCTTCAAACTGGGTCCAAACTGTATCCTTCGCTAATATGGCCACGCACACTAACCATTTGGCCACTTCTCCTTCGTAAAGAGCGAACCGATCAAAGGCGTCTTGAAAATTCAATACATCGTAACAACATTACAAAGACTTGCTCTTTGCAGTTTTTTTAAAAAGATAGCCTTAACAGATTGTACTAAAAAGAAGCTTCCTCACGGCCTTTAAACCCTCTGGCTACTCTTCCACCGCAACATGAAAAGGACATCATCATCCCCAGTGACATGAAGTGCACGCTTCAAGTAAGTCCAATGCAACAGTTCTGCGTCTGAACAGCGATCTTTATTGAATTCGGTCATGAAAAATTCATATGCGATCATGACACTGACCCAGTGCGTCATGAGGGTGTAGATAGCAGATAACATGATCAATTGGTTTATGAACAGACCGGAGATAGCCTACAAATTGCTTGTACAGCCACCTCAATGTGTCGGGTTTTGGAAATTTTCAAACAATATCGCCCAAAGTGAAATATGAAGATAATAGACACTAGAAAAGGCATCTAGAAATCGTTATTTCGCAGCTTTAGGGAAGAATTCAATTAGAGGAATAAAGGATGAAAAGGACGAGACAAGGATCCTTAGAAGTAATAGGGAAACGGATAGGAATATCGAGTTTTGGGAAAGTAGTGAAAATGCAGTTTAAATAGATGGAGGTGAATTCTAAGGAAAATAAAACGTCTTCTGAAATCATAGGAAAACATCCAGTCTTGCTTTATAAATTGTTCGTTAAAAACATTTCTGGACCATTTATCTTAAAAGATTATTGATATTAACTTTCAAGATCGATAAACTGCTAAAGAATTCTTAACCTTTATCGTTGTACAGACGAAAAACCCTGGTTTTAAAGAGCCTAAGCTGTGAATGGCTTTATCTTAGGCAAACATTTTGACCCTGGCCTGGCATTGTTAGCTTTTAGCTATACTAACTTTGATCTCATTTATTTTCAAATATTTTTACAAGATGATTTCTTAATCTTTAGCGTTGCATAATGAAATAGAAGCTAAAAAAAGATTACCATGCGTTTTATGCAAAAAATGAGAAAACGTTGTTGACTTGAATTAGCTATTTTACAATCCATTATACCAATATTACCCTGATATATTTCGCTTTACATTAGGAAAATATCATACTTTTACTGATTATTAATTTGATACTTAAAGAATAAATAAAAACTAAATATATAAAATGACAGATTTGTTTCAATCAAATGAACATAAGATGAGAAATGCAGTTTGGACTGAGGAGACAAACTTTCTTGTAACACTGCACTTCTGGTAAAGATTAGCTAGAGAAAGGCTGGAGAATTCAAGTAACTTTGACAATCAGGTATCAGATTGTGGTAAGAATACGCAACATTGATGAAATTAGGGGAGTATGAACAATGCTAATCAAAGAAGATCGATTGATAGCAAGGCCTGAAGTTTATTTTATGGTTTCCGATAGGTTGAATAAGTTCATCTTTTCCCAGTGGAGAGGCAGCATGATGACGTCACGAAAATCCATTTTTAGAATTGATCAATTGTGAGCACTTGAGCACCGTCAAATAGCGTGCTTAAGCGTTCAAAGTTAGTTCAAACTGTTACGGATTTCCTGAGATAGGGCCCATGAAAGATCTGAAGTTTGCTAATTAATAATTGATATTTTTGCTTCATTGATAAGTTTTGGAACCAGGGCCAAATTGCTTTATTCTATTCTAATAAAAATATATCTTAGTAATATCTCAAGTATTTTGTAATAAATCTATATGATTTTGCATCTTTAGAGGTATTTTATAGTACTCTTTTTAACTATAAACTCAAAAACCAAAAAAATAAAAGAAATTTATTTGACGTAATAATTTTTTCTCTCAGACTTTTTACGGTAGAGCTCATGGAAATAGAACGACAGTTCTAAAGCGAATATGTTCAATACAATTGTTAGAAAGGAGCGAAGATGTATGATTTAGACAAGAGTTTCGGTTTCTGTAGAGGAAAACCTAATAGAAACATCTGGGTCCGGCGAATGTTGCATAGAACTTAACCACCTGTTGTGCAAAATATAGTTCGATGAAAAACAGATTTCTGGATATTTCTTAGAAACTGCAAAAATGTTTTGCTTGTACAGCATCCATGAGAAACGAAACGCTCCATGATAGCAAATGCTGAGATGTTGCATACACAAAAAAATGAAAATATGAGCAAAATATGTTATTGATAAAGACAAATATGCTTGACTCACCTCTAACTTTTTCCAGGGAAACAAGAAGCTTTGCAGATCTGAATAGGGAACAAACACGCTTATTTACAAACTAAGTGTCGCTAATATTAGTTGTTTCATCTATCAAAAAATCAGATGCTGCCAAATATTGTTTGTGTGTTCACGAAAAGACCTGTGAGCACCAGTAAGTTATCAATAAATGCTTGAAGTCTTCAATAATGTTTGATAGAATTTACAGCTTTGAGCAGATGTTTACTTGATGCCAAGAGATGATAGCAGACAATGTCTTCAATAAAAAGGCGCATTTGATATCTTTGGCAGGGGAAAATGTGAAGTTTGTTAGACAAAACAAATCACATAACTCACAGGTTGCTTTAAATATGGACTTTTAAAATGCAGTAGGAACAAAGACAGGATCACGGTTTAAATTTAAAAAAATGTTACTTTTAATTAGCTCAGCGACATTTAGCGATGGTTAAAATTTGCAAATTATAAAAACAAAAAATAAAACAAAATAAATATACAGGTTATTTCATCGACTGAATTATCTTTTCCTTTTAAACTTTGCTGATTGGCCCTTGAACTTTCAAAGCAAAAGTTGAATAGTTTTTTCTCTGCTGTTTGAGCTAACAAATGACTCTGCTTGCATGGTCTTCAAATCTCACCATGGGATGGCTCCACAATACATATGTATTCTTTCCTAAAAACATCTCGACTAACCTCAAGGAACCTTAGAAATACATCAACTGACAAGAGGTTGGCAAAAAAGCTCAAAAAATTGTCAGAAATATTTCTCATTCAGAGGAGCCTTGGAATTGCCTCTCAGCTTAGTGTAAGCAGGTACCTTTAGGAACAGCTTAAAGCAAGATCTTGCTTAATTGTAAATAGATGTTTGTCATTTGGTTTTCATGTCGTAGAAGATACTTATTTTAGACTTTAAGGAGATTCATTACAGCATGTATGTAGTGAATTGCAACTAGGTTAATTCATCTTTTATAATATAATAATTTTGGCTAGTCTTTTTGGGTAGGGCCCCTTGAAAATCAGCATGCTGAAGGGCTACCCTCCTTAAAAATATGAAACTATAAAAGGAAATAAATAACAAGTCAAAAGACTTTTTAAACATGATAACGTAAAATTGATTTGTAAAATCTATTACATAATGCCGCAAAGATAATGATTTTGAATTCAAATAAGGGAGGAAAGCATTTGAAAATATTGGCAACTTTGTAGTTGCCAATAGACAACGAACTGTACTCAGCTTTACGACAATAGTGTTTACTGAACATAACATCTCGAAAGGTATATGATAAAGCTAAGGTTTAAAAAAACCCTGTCTAACCTCCTTTCCGCCTGTTGCTTGGCAACTGCCAATCCTTCAATCTCGCTCGTGAACGAATCTAAACCTTCTTCCCATTTCTTGATCAAAACCTAAGAAATAAGATGAAAATGCTAGAAATTCTAGCAATATGCAATGTTTCTGTATCTTAAAGTATGATTGACCTTAACTTTGCCAAACGAGTAAATAAAAGCCACCCTGACTTCGGCTATTGTACAATACTACATTGCAATGACCTGCAGTTTATAATTCCATGGCTTTTTTCGTCAATAAAGTTCCCAGATACCTTGTATTGTCTCCAATTTCTGTACCTTGCAATTCCACCTGCATTTGCCAATGTCATTAAAAAATAGCAAATTAACAGAGAGCATGTTTCAGCGAGGTTATTAAATATGATCTTAATTAATCTTATTCTTCAACTCTAGTCCTGATACATCATTCTGTCTTCTCATGTTTCCCAGAGTTTCTTAATCAAATCAAAGACCGAAAATAAACACATACGAATATTAATTGATTATGCCTATTTTCAATTAAATATATAGTTGATCTGGAATTTAGATTCTTAAATTCATTTCGACTTTGGGTTTTAAAGATCTTTATCCATATGTAATATTCATAGAATTTCTACATAATAAATATTATTTAAGAATACACAAGCGTTTGTTACCAGCTTCTTTGTCTCAGTCACGTGGTCAACGACTGTGTCAAAAAGAAATAAGAAGAAAAGAACAAAGTCCCAAACCCAAAACCCTCCCCTTCACTCGATTTTCTGAGGCAGGTTCTCGCATCTTAATACCATTGTCCGGAGGAAGAAGAAAATAACTTTTTGAACTCTAGGTTTATTGTTAGCTATAAAGGAAGCATAAAGGGTTTTCTTTGCCCTTGCATTTAAAGTCACAAATTAACCAATGTCAACCAAAGTAAACAAAGCATAAGCAATTTAGTACCACGAAACACCAAAAGTAAAAAAGCCTCTAAAACAGCTTCTTACAAAATATTAAGATGGTGAAAACGTATTCAGCATTAACGTTTTTTAATATTCAGTATTCCAAATTTGTGTCTCAACAGAAAACTTTGGCAAAATATTGAATTATTTATTGATGGTTTCAGAGATTTTTCAAAAATCACTTTGCTTCGCTTCCAAAGTCATCGGTTCACTAAATACAAAAGTGCTTTGTTAGTGAATTCAATAAAGGCCCTGAAAAAAGCCGCAGGACCCTTCATATGTTCCCCACGGGGAAGCTAACCAAGAGCTGATGGCGCTGCCCGGAAGCGTTTGTGAGAAGAGGGGAACTGTAGGCGTAGCCCCTGGGGGAATACTGCCCTTAATAATCTTCTTTAGGGGTGTTTTTGCAAAGCAAAAATAAAGTTGGGCATGTTAAGCCTAAAGTTTGATTTTTTATTTTTACAGTTCAGTTTGGCATGATGGGATATTGAATGCTCAACGGAAACTGAAGTAAATTCTGTTTGGACATGCGTTCAAAAAGCTAAACCAATCTAGATTATCCTCGAGGCTTTATGTTACATTTCATATTGTCTATCTCTTTCACCGCATAGCGTTTCGTGTTGTCTTCTTTTCTACTGCATTCTTCCACAATAATAAGTAAAAGCTAAACATGCAAGATAACAATTTCCTACTGAAGCGTTCAGCAATGCGAACAGAGTTTTAAAAGACATCAATAAACAGTAAACTCCGTATAACTCAAAACTCCAAGGATCCAATGGTTCGAGATAGTGAATGCTCGAGTAATCGGAGGCATTTTTATATGAATGTTTTAGGCAAGGCTAATCATTGTTAATTCGACTTGGCGAATGTTCGATTTATCGGGGGTTCGAATCATCGGGAGTCGTCAAAATGCCAATCTTCATAACCCTTAACACTTTTCAATGAGCGTACCATAGAAACTGGGAAAGAGGAAAATTGGAAAAGAGTACACTTTTAAACTATTTTGCAAGTCATTAATTTTCGCTTTCAACTGTTAATCTTGCAATTATTTGTTGAAGAAAATTTGTAATAAATTCTGAATTTCAGATAGTACAGGACTAACATCATCTGAATGCTAGTAGCAATCCTGGAAGTAGAGAATCTCGTGATTAATTATTATTATTGACAGTATTTATCTTAATTGTAGCCGGGTGGCTATATGATCTTTCATTCACTGCACTGTGAAAAACTGTTTCAACAAATATCCCAGTTTAACATACATTTTAGCATACCGAGCAAAATATATGTTAATTTTAGGAACTATTAACATATCATACCGAACAAAAGAACACTGTTAAGCAGCTTTCGTTGATTCGTTGAAACCTTGGTTCAACGGAAATTAAAAAGCATGGAGGTAAATTTTGACTGTACTTCTTAATTTATCAGATTGTTTCTTCAGAAAGAACGCCCGTATTTGCAAAAGTCGACTTACATTTGGATGGGTTTCTTGGTCCGAGCTTGGATCGACTGCAGCCAATTCTGCGATTTGTTTTAAGGCCAGATCTTTCTTCTTCTTGAAGTTCAGAGCCTTGAAAAGCAGAACTGTATGTTAGTCGCACAATATCATGTTTGTGACTCAGACTTAACCCTTTCATGCAAATAACAGCTTTTGTTGATAACGAATAAGGTTTGTGGCTAAGGTTCTAGTTTTCAAATATGTGAGACAATAGCGCGGTGAAAGTCATCTAGACCCACTGATCATTCTGTTTCCTACATGACTTATCACATTGTACCTGTTCTTGTGTTTATATTTGAATTGAGATAAAGCAAGATGGCTTTTTTGTTATGGAAAATAACACCAATCAGTTTGAAGAATTATTTGATATTATTGGAATAACAATTAGCCAATTGTTAAAACTGATTTATACATGTTATGTGTGAACTAAATAGGAAATATTAGGTTTAAAAAGACCATCCTCGCTACGGTATATTAATCAATGTTATTTCCTAGCATCCCCTAGCCTTTCACGTATTATTTAGCCCTTCCAACTCTAGACTGAAGCCTTTTTTAGCTATTTTGCTTAGCTGTGTATCATGTGTGAGTTGCAAGGTGCTCACTATGCCCAGTTAACTTATTATTAGGCTAACATTAATTTTTGTCTTTTAGTATTTATCTTATATATTCCAAGTAAAAATACTCCAACATGACAACATTAGTAAAAAACATAGGGTTCATAACATTAATTGTAACAAATAAAAAGGGAACAACAAATCATTGATAGATACTGCGATGAAGTCCAAAATCCAGAGCGAAATACTTGCTCATTTTGTTTCTATTCTAGTTACAGGTGTTCACACGGTCGTGTCATGAGATCCTCTCTCGTGGTATTTCGTTGCTCTGTATTCTGTCCGTATCATAATGAATTATATTTTAATGTCCTAGCCAAGCCTCGTAAAAAATGACAGATTTTCCCTTGACCAACGACTCTTCGAAGAAGCAGACTGGGGGTACAATTTGCACAACAAGGAGCAACCGAAGGGCAGCAGAAGGTGTAGAAAATACATCAAAATTTCAAGGTTTCAGACCCAGCAAAACTGATGCCAATGCCCCCTGATTTCACCAAAGTTTTAAGAAAACTTTACATAGATAAAATTGTGGTTGTGCTTACTATTTGCTGCGCAACTGATGAGTACTTGTCTGACGACGCTGCGGTGGAGCCAGAGGCATTTGATTGGTCACTTTCGTGCGTAAAGTTCCGGGAGCCGGTACTGTCAGCAAAACTAAGACGTCCGGAACATTCCCTTGATGTTGTTGATAAGTTGTTTGAAGCCTGAACAAATCAAAGTAAATGCTAGGGAAATCTAAATGTTTTTAAGGGAAACTGCGTTAAAAAGAGCATTGTTTGGGGAGCTTCTGTTGGATGCCAACTCGTTTCTCAGCTCGTTAAAGTTATTGAGGGCTAAGCACGTAGCGTACGTTAAAAAATTTAAATACAGAAAAAATCTTTGACTAGTACATTGAAATGAATTTGAAAATATATTTGACAATAATCGATATGAGATGATAATATGCGACAAAAATTCTAAAATAAAACATTTTAAAAATGAATTGTAATCGGGTTTTCTTGGATTGGTTGGATGTAATCTTTGCTTACGCCTTTGAAATTCTCTTTTCCTTTCACTACTAGTATACTGATTGTGAGCAAAGACTTAAACGGAACCTTAAACAATAAAATTGGGCCAAAAGTTTACTAATCTATTCAAGAAAAACCAAAAAAGGCCAGAAGAATCTAAGGAACGTCATTGAAAAGATCTTATCCTCAAACTCAGACAAAGCCAGACAAAGATGAAGATTTTGAATAGAAATGTTTGGGCTCTTGGGTTGCAGGTAAGAGGAAAACACTCTTGATACATTGGTGAATCGATAATTATCATGAGTTTGTGACTGCAGCAATGACCTTTTAATATCCATTTACGTATTTTCGGAAACATTTAAGATTTCATCATGAAGCCAGCACTCACAAGCTCTGATCGCATTTCCTGCTGCAAAGTGACAGGTGCATCTCTGTTAAATGGTGTGCTTGCGTAGATTGGCTCTCTGGAACCCATACTTGACGGTGACCGCATTGCTGTGAGTCTGTAAGAAAAATTGGGTTTGAATTTTAAATATCACGATATCTTGGATTGCACATAGAGAGACAAATGCCTTGTGCGTAAATACAGTCTCTTTTCATCAAAGACTCTCAGTACACATTCAAAATCAATGTCATTGATTCAGAAAAAGAAGTTCAAATGTAATGAAACGTTACCAGAAACAGAGTCCAGAAAACATTACGGTTTCTACGGTTGTCAGCCAGAGGAAGGTCACCCAACGATGTTATTAAATCAAAAAAGACTAATAAAAAACGTTTACAAGAGTTTAAGAAGCAAGAGGAAATCGAGAAATGTAATTTTGTATCGTGCTTGAATCTTATTTTACCTGACAAAGCGTAACAAACAAACCATAAATGACTCGACCTAAATTCCATTTCTAAAGAACTATTATTTAAAAGAAAGAAATAACACTTTGAGGAAGGCAGATAGAGCAAAATTTCATCCAAGGGAAGTTTGAGGGGTCTTCTGAACTCTGCGTTTTTATATATTTGTATTTGTATTTGTATTTGCTTCTATCTAGCTTCCTAAAGTAGGTTTTAGGACACTGAAAAGCTATGGTTATCGAGCAGTGTCCTGGTCCTGTCTCTCGATGTAACCACTCCTCGTGATTCCTACGCTTGGAATTACAGATATCTGGCGACTCTCCTCACTCTAAAAAAGGTCTAGCCATGACAAGGACTCGAACTCCAGACGTTGGACCCTGGATCATTTTTACGTGACCTTAACTATTGAGCTATCCTGGGTTCCAGACCCGCAAAAATTTAACGGCAGCAAAAAATGATGAGAAACTTTTGCGTCTGTGGTACCCAGTATGTAAACTTCCTTTCAACTATAACTTTTTACAGTTAAATTTTGAAGATTAGATTACCTGATCGTTTGAATTTTCTATTATTCTAAAATATTCATTTTCCTATGTAAATTTATTTGATTAGTTTTATTAAGGCTCAGTATTCAAACCTTCAAAAATTCGAAATAAAATTGCTTTCTTAGCTTACCTGAATAGAAGAACATTGAGAACTCGCTTATACTTTGGGGCTATTATTTTTTCATGATGTGAAAAGGAAATTGAAATCGATATCATGAAGTCCCTCTCGTGCATACCCAGTAGTTGTGCATGGACTAGAAGCAGCTTCGACAGGTGATTTTCATTGCCATAACTCGTTATTTGAAACAGCTTGTAATATTAAAGTTCTTTCGCAACGGGTTATTGAAAGATTAGCAAGAATCGAATGCAACACGCCAATGAACCTCTCTTAAACACTGGGCAAGTGCAATTGTTATTCAAAGTATCCCCGGAGTTGACTGCAGCAAAAGCCTATTCCTGTCATGAGCAGGTGTTATGAAAGATGAAGAAATGAGGAGCTTTTTCTTCGTCCCATATGCAACCGTCAAAGCAAGGGACACAATTAAATTAACTGAATGCAGCCAAAACCTATATCATTAATTGGTTCTGTTAAAAACTGATTAGAGAATGCTCGTTTTCGGTTTTAACGGCACGACTGCAAATCTTTGTTGCAAATTAATTGCCATTTGGGTACGGAAAGAGCTGTGCAACCACAAGTAGACTCTGATTGTGCAGCGACATGCTGTCCCCTTCACCAAGACGGTTAAAACGTGGACTAAAACAAGAAACTCTCTTGTAGGTGAGGTTCATACTACCTGTAGGGTAAACAGCGAATCCCCTTATACTGACGAAGCAAGTAGACATCAAAACGTTATTTATTACAAGCAAATACGATTGGCACATTTATTGTCAAATTTATTGGCCAAAAGTTTATTGTCAAATTCCTTACTTGCTAATTTCATGTTTTGATTCAAGGAGGTCAACCTCCAGGCGATTCTTTTCTGCCTTCAGAGCCTGAAATTAAATAAAATCATGAAAATTTTAAAGCTTACAAAGCGGTTCCTCAAAAGCTTTAAAACCCAAATCAATTGTTATGGAATCTCATTTTTAGAAGGATTTTGTTCAGTTAGAGTAAAAAAAATGTAAACATTAAAATTGGATATGTTTGATAGGGTAAAAATATTTTTGGCACTGACTCAAGACAGACGAACAAAGCATCGGCATAAAACATCATCCATCCAAAATGTTTTTAGTTCGTTCGGCCACCAGGCTTTACGATGTTTCATGGTCTTTTATGGAATATCACTTCAGACAATCATTTTGTAGAACATTTGATCAACAAAGTTGCGTTCGTTTGGCCTCCTCTCAAACATTTGTTTTCATCACGTAAGTGCAGTAGGTTTGAATTCGGTGAAAAAGGCAGCAACTGTAGGAAGCTGTGCAGCGGCTCTTTACCCCCACCAAAGTTTGAAATTTGTTTGAGTCATTTGACAAGGCCTTTCAGGTAACTCGACATCATCAACTTTTCTCAATCGAAAACTAAATTCTTACCGTCACTTTAATCTTTGAATACAAATACGACGGGGTTTTATTTGGGCTAACATAAAATATATCTGGGTTGACTGCACTAAAATTCTTTAGAACTCTTCCTATTTCCTTCTCAAACCTTTTTTTACTTGTTTCGCGGAGGGACTAAATCGATCTTTTCGAAAAATGTTTTCAACATGTTGGGTCACACCCAAGGAACTAGTCCAGAGGGGGACAAATAAAAAAAAGTAATTGAAAGAAACTCTTGGGCAGTTTTTTCGAGTCATTTGGCCATGCCTTTTGAATGGAACTGGTGACTCGAATTCAACAATATTTCTCATTGGCAAACTAAAATTCTACTTTAACTTCTAGGTTGGAATAATTTCTAGGACGGGGTTTTATTGAAGCTTTCGTTTAACGTTTAAAAATCAAGACTTTTTATGTCTTATACTTTGTTTTTCAGATGCGCTAAGAGGGTTACTTTGCTTCAAATATAAAAACTTTTAAAAACAATCATCATAGGTAGAAACGGGCTTTTCCGCAATGGGCCACGCTATAGAAAAGCACTCCAAAAGGAGAATTTTCAAGACTCTTTTAGCATAACAAAGTAATTGATGTTTGCTATAACTTTTCTTGAATTTAGAATAAAGGGAGCTGACCATATTTTAGAAATTCGAGATCTGAAACTTATGATTTGAAAATGGATCAGCTTTCAAAAGGTAAGCTTATTCCCACAATGACGATGTTAAACCTAAGCTAGGCAACTCACAAAAAGCGTATATAGAAGCAAACTTCATACCTCGTTGGCCATTGACAACTCAGCAATAAATGACGTCATATACTCTGATTTACTCGATGATTCCTGCACAGAACAACATTGCAGAGTAGACTTAGTGGTTGGGGTGACCTGAAACACCTAACTTTAAAAACTTTAGCAAGAAATTCAAAGCTGTTTGAGTAGCCAATCAAAAGATATCTTAAGGGAAGCTTTTAATAATAATTTTTTAATAATTCCAAGAAAACTTATAAGAAAGTCTATTAACAAAATTTCAAATGTTTCAGGCATGACAATAAAGTTCAATACGACAGCAAAAAGCAGAATCAATACAAAAACTTCTCTTTGTAAATACGAATGAAATGTAGGTGAAATTATTTAAAGATAGCTTTCTGTGTGTATATTATTTCTTTGTTATACGTAATTGTTTAAAATTTCAATAATCGTCCATGGACACTCACGTCAACAATCTTTTGTTTTAGATCCTGAAGAACTTCCAAATCAACATATAATTGCTAAAAATGAGAAAGAAACTATAAAAATAGTACTTCAAAATTACATTATGAGACGCTACAACAAAATCATAAAAAGCAACTTTTTGCAAGTAGCAGCACAGCATAGATTTTTGTCTATGATCAAGACAATTATGGTTGAATTTATTAGGGAAACTTGTATATGACCAAGACTACTACAGTTTTATTTATCATAGCAAAAATCACCTTTTGTTCGTTAAGTTTTTGCATCAATTCACGGTTCTCTTCTCGTACAGCTTCCAATGCAGCATTCTTAGCAAGATCCTGGATAAAAGAAAATCAGGTGTAAAGACTTCAAATATCGCAGATGTCACGACATGGAACATAAATTAATTGCTTGATATATCCATATTTAACACTTTTAAAAAACGAATTTTTTAACAACGATAATCTTTAATTTTGCTTCATTCTGACAAAAAGACAGTCGGTTCAAACAAAATTAAGGCGGAAGTTATAAGGATTAAATGATTTTTCTGAGCTAACCACTTTTTGATAATCTTCGATTGTGCTTTGAAGAATATTATTCTCTTTCTCCTAAAAGAGAAGTTGCAAAACACATTAAGGGCTTTTTCTGTCGCGGGGCAATTTAGAACTTCTCTATTCCGTGAGCTAAAAACGTTCACATTCTACCAATAAAATGGGTCAAGTTTCATAGCTGCAGTTGACTCTCAGGGCTACCAAATAAAATCAATTCCTGCCCACAAATAAAAATGTCCACAAAATTATGCACATGGACAATGAAAAGTTCAGTTTAGAAAGTCTATTGCCATTGTTGGAAATTACTAGATTAATTTTTATGTATTTATTTTACTTTGTATTTACATTGTTTACTTTATTTTATTTATTAGATTTTAAAAACCTGTGAATGAGCATCTTTTTAGCAGTTTACAGTAAAAAGATTGATAAAAATAATGATTAACACTAATAGACAAAAAGGTCATTACGACAAAAAACAGACCAGGCTTACCAACTGACTCGTCCGTGAGGTTAACTCGTCTTTTCTGGTCCGGTATTCATTCACTGCAAGAAAACCGTAATTCCTAACTTCATGTTAAAGAATGACCGTTTAATATTACTTCCACTTGGATTTGTATGAATAACTATAGCCATTCATGACAAAACATGGTGTATATATAAAATATCGGGATTCATTTTCAAGCATTTTATGCTACACAACCAGAGCCGGTCCAGAATTAGTCGCACGCTATACGTCATCAAATGGGAAGGGTTTTGGCGCGGTAGTTACGCGGCGAAGAAACAAAGGAATTGGAGTCTAAGATGGAAATGAAATGGAAAACAAATGACATTGAGTTTAAATGACGGCTTTAAATAAAGGGTACCTGATAATCAAAATATCAGTACACTTTTTGCCAGAACCATATAATTTCGGGATTTATTGTAAGTCTTTCACTTCGAGCACTCCCGTAAGAAAGCATCACTTCTGTCATGGGGTGCCACTTCTGTCAACTTCACTTTAACTGGGGGCCAATTTTAGGTGGCTATAGGATAATCGGCTATTTGTGGAGGGGGGGATGACCGCTGTTGTTTCAGTTAACATTTTTTGATAATGCTTTTCGGGGATCTACCGGGAATCAGTCAGAGAAAGGGGTATGAGCAGAAGGTTCATAGAGGGAGGTTTTTGGGGCATTTTTGCTGTGGGCTACCAACCGAGAAAGGTTGGGAGCAGTTTTGCAATCGGGAGCCAAAGATCAAAACTGGAAATTGGAGCCATTGTTATTTACTGAGATAAATTTTAAGAATAAGATTAACTAGCTTTAGCAGAAGCCAAATATCTAGAGATTTAACCCATGAAAAAACTATTCAAACGAAATTAAAAATGGCTTAAAAAGCAAATATTTTAAAACATGCTTAAGCTTTTCGTCTGACACTCTTCAAAACAATGAACGAGACTTTTTGAACTAAGGGATATTTATACCCATTTTTAGATCGAAATAGGCCAATCAGAAACACGAGCTCATGACTGTAAAGGCTTCCCAGTCAGTGCGGTTTGCCTATAGAAAATGGTACCAATGGAGGGCAAAGGTGAAAACAAACTCTTCCTGTGTACAAAATAGCGGTTTTTTCCCTTTTATGTACATCGATTTTAAAACTGCCAGGAGGAACGACGACCGGGCTCTGCCAGTTACACGTAACAAGTCAATATCATACATTTGGCACAATCTGGGTTTTCTATCAAATTCTGCCCCTTGTAGAATCACATGCTTTAGTTTTTGACCTGCAAGACCGAGATAACTGTTCGCTCAGGAAAGGAGTTTTGTTTCTTATGTTGAAAAGAACTTGCGGCTTTTTCTTATGTACAACTAATTATCCGCAGACATAGCTTTTTATAAATACCCCCTCATACTGAAGCAGTCAACTACTATAGCCTATAAAAGAAAGTGAACTCACTCTTATTTTTGATCGCTTCAAAATCTTGCTCTAATGATTTATTTTTCTCAACCAGTTGGTCATACCTAGAATGATAAGGTCATACCTAAAAACAAATATCAACTGAATGATAAGACTGGTATATTCAGTACTGGCCCCAAAATAGTTAGAAAAGCGAAGCAGAGACTAATGATTTAATGCAGATTCCAAAACTACTATGGAAACAAAAAATTTATCTATTAAAGAACAAATTTGGTCAAAATACCAAGTCCCTTTCTGCTCTTATGCTCTTAATTTTTCTATGCAAACAATCTTGTGGTACAAAACTTGTAAATGGCTTTGAAAAAAGCAAACATTTAGTAAACTAAAGCTTTTCGTCTGACACTCTTCATAGTTTAAAACGTCAGAACATAGATCGAAAACTCAACGCTAAGAAATATATATACCCAGTTGTGGATCGAAATAGGCCAATCAGAAACACGAGCACATGACTGTATAGGTTGACCAATCAGTGCCGCTTGCCTATTATAATTTGTCTAATTTTCTATAACTTTCTGTTTCAATTTTCGCGTGTAAACACAAGACCAATTGTATGTCAATAGAGGTCCCTAATGATGAGATCAAAAAACCTATATAAAGAATTATGAGCCTTATTCAAATCAAAAGTCCTTGGATAAGTCGGACATTCCCGAACTCGGATCAATTCCTTACCTCCTTTGAAGATTCAACATAATGGGATCAAGCTATAGTATTTTACTACATCAAATCAATGTAATTTGATCTTGATTCTAAACTTTATGAACCAAGCAAATTTCAAATGTTTCATTGACTATACCCAGCTTTTAATTTATTTAACTGAGTTTGCCCCTCTAGAGGTATTTCACAGTCTTCTTTCAGATTGTTTGGTCAAAAAGAATAATTATAAAGGCACATTTTGATAACGTCACACAAGAGCTCTATTTTGATTCAAACCATCTGAATCCGATCCCGTGTAAACAGTCTCTGAATAACTGCCGGACTAAATAATGAATATAATGAAAAATATAATAAATATAAAATGAATAAAAGAGGGAATGATAACCGTTTTTATTATGCTATTAAGATAGGCAGCTAATTGCCATAATAGTTGTGAAACATCATACCTGCTCAATTTATTTCTTAGCTCGGCAATTTCTTGCAACAAAATTGAATTGGCTTCCTCCGAGGTATCAACCTGTGACAGAGCAAATTATGCTTAAGAATTTTATTGAATTGCAAGAAACATGGAAATCGGTTGAAATTTTACATCTGCCCAATGTCGATCTCGAAGAGCTATTTGACATCAAACTAAACGGGAGATCTTCGTTAAATATTAACAAAACTGTCCATTTAGAATCATCAACAAAGTTGCAATGAGGAAACAAAACCTCGCATAACTCAAAGTAGTGGTTATTAATTCGCAGAAGCCACTGTCATTGCTGAACGATATTCAAAAATTTCAGATTGGAAACATAGATCAAAGAAGCGAAATCCAATCAAATATCAAAGAAGCCAGGCTATTCAAAATGAATATTAAAAAACCAAGAAAAAAAACAGCGAAAAAATCCCAAAAAACCAAAGGTCAGCGACAAGCTTCCAACCAGGAAAACTGTCAACAGCCAATCATTTATTGAGAGACAGGTGCATAGTTTTTATGCTATTTTTTCAAATTGCTGCCTTTGGAGAACCTAAGCTGAAACAATGATTGCTTCTAGTGTAAGGATTATTGAATTTAGCTCTTGGATCGACTTCCTCAAAACGTCTGAAAAAACTTTTAATCTACACTAGATCCCAAGCATCAACTGTGATTTTAATCATGTTCCATGCTAAAAAAATTTAACTTCTTAAAACCTTAAAAAATTCTGCATCTTTAATCTATACCTGCTCTTGGTGTACGAGCTCACAATATGAGATTTGATAAAAAAGCAACAGCAAAAACATCCCTAGGCAGCAAGCAAGAGAAAGCTTTTCTCTTTAGGAAATTACATACATTGCCGGATAATCTTATGTTTATGAAGGAATTTCTGACTTCATGGAGACGTCTAGTTGTTGCATGGACTTAAAGAGGAAAATCACATTACTAACAAAACCTTAACAGTATAATTATTACTGTCATTTTCTTTCTGAATCGAGAGACTTCTTGGCATTAGCGTTCTGTCATTATTCACTTATGTGAATAAGAATTGAAATTTTCAGATTTTCAGATTAATAACAAATTTCCCGACTAATTCGAGGAATCTCAGAGGTTTTTCTTTGGGGGGGGGGGGTACACCTTTAGCCAATGTCCGAGTTATCTTGAATAACGTTGGAAAACCTAACGGGAATTGAAAACTAATCCGGATTAGTGAAAGTTTGAGTTATCCAGGGTACTTATTTGATCTGCATTGGCTTCCAGTCAAACAACGCATATGGTTTACCTTATCCTGCTTACCTTCAAGTGCTTGATAGGAAATGCACCTGTGTATTTACGGGACATGGTGGAGAGGTATGTGCCCTATAGAACTCTCAGATCAAGTAACGCGCTGCTGTTAAAGGTTCCTCGTTTCAAGAATAAAACATTACGTGCTAGAACTTTTGCCTACGCTGCAGCTAGTCTTTGGAACAGTCTTCCGTTTGAAATTCGTTCTGTTGACAATATTGATAATTTTAAATCGCTGTTAAAGACTCATTTATTTAAATGAGCTTATGATGTTATGTAAAAGGTTTTAAATTGTAAAGTGTATAGAATATTGTATTATAGTTATCCACTTTAATCATTATTATTATCATTATTATTATTACGAATTAACGGAATTCAAGTGGAGGTCAGGAAATTGAGAAAGTAAAAAGGATGACATGAAAATCACCTGCGCACGTAACTTGGTTTTCTCATCAACCAATTTTCTGTTGGTGGTTTGCAAGTCTTGAATTCGTCCAAGAATTTCAGACTGCGATTTCTCCCTGGAAACAAAAAAGTCAAGAATCAATACTAGGGTAACCACAGTTTAGTACCAGTCTTCTAAGCTTGGTCGTTCAAAATTTTACGAATGAAAAATATTTGACCATTTGTCTTATAGTTGCTTAATGTAAGAAATTCAATAGTTACCCTATCTGTCATACTATAGTTTGCCCTTCTCTAAAAAATAATCATGAATAGAGCGAGAAATAAAAAACCCAGTGAGGCAATTGTTGTTAATCTTTTCGTGGTACAAAATTTGAAAATGGCTATGAAAAATGTTAACATTTTGAGTCATAGCAAAGCTTTTTGTATAAAAGGCCAGAACATAGATCGAAACACTAGCGTAGTGTTTTAGGCCTAAGGAACGCAGCTAATGATAATTAGATTCTTGTAAATGCCAAAGGGATCTGCGTACAGGCAAAGCTATTCGTGTAAAAAAGTAGCTTGAAACTTTAGTTTCTTCCGGCAGCAGACGCTTCATTGTAGCTTTCTATTGACAAATCCACGGAAAGTAGTAGAATTAGGAATATTTGTTTTAATTAAAAAGGAAAAGAAGGTAACAGTGTATGTCATTTACTGTGACGTATACACCCGGTAGGTCATCTCAAACTATCATGTGTAAGCACCCGTGTTTGAGGGTCTAGAAAACTGACCCTTATCTCTGATATTTGATTCCATTTTGATTCCCTTTTTCCTTGAAACCAAAGAAAATTTATACCCATTTTCCTGAAATCAAATAGTTGAAATGAGGCCAAACAAAGAAAAATTAGAAACTATATTAAGATTCCCATATCATACACCCTTTCTTCTATTTTCTTTGTCCTAGATATGTGACAAAATTGAACCCCTTTCTCAGAGATATTGAAGACACGGGTGCTTATATTCGACAATGAGAATGGACCCTCCGGGCGGATACATAGTCATTCAAGATAAGCAATACAACATCAACTTACAGTAATTGCCACTCGCCGCTCGATTCTGAACTGTAAAAGCTTCTACTTTCTAACGAGTTCTCTGCATAACCTGGATGGAAGAATCGTCTAATGAATTTTAAAGAAAAACAGTGAAGCTAACATACTTTTATTCCTGACATGCCAAATATTTTGCAACACAACAGGGTTGTACAAAACGACACTATACCAAACTGCTGGCCTAACGTACAACGCCCACCAGCATTAACTAGAACATCGAGCAATTTGTGTTGTGTTTTTCATTTCTTTCCCAAATGTTACTACTTAAGCCTCCCCCCTCTCCCACAGAACAATGCAGGTAGTTTAGGCAAATATCATGCAAGTAACACTTTAGAATTTACTTCCTAATCTCCCATTTTTTATAGAAAAAGAGGGGGATGGGTGAAATGGCCCTTGAAAAACTGTTTTAGTGTTCCAAGATTAGCAAGGATTGTATCATTGATCATAGAAATAAAAGACAAGGGATCGGAGCTTGGAGTCGACGGTTCTCCATAAACAAATGCGACTTGAAATTGAACGATGCGTCTTTCTATACCAAACAAGACACGTATACTACGATTAAAACAATGATACAGTCATGTGGGTTGAAACATAAGACAGTCACATTGCATTTTATCTAGCTGATAGCAAAAAAGACACGAGACGCGAATATTTGGCCTTTGGTTTTGAATAAATGAATATGGAAAAATATTCGCTATCTTCAATATTATACCAATTACCCGCTACTGCAAATAAAAAGGTTTTGAAATCCGAAGATTTCAGCATATATAGTTTTAAAGTGTTGAAAATGTAGTCAAATGTTCTCGAAAATATAGAAAATTTTAATCCTGTTGCATACAAATTCAAAATATCCTAAAATACCCTCTATTTACCTACCATTGCTCAATGCATTCAAATTTTGATCGCCTTCGCCGCGTCCTCGGTAAACGACCTAGAAAATGAGCCACTGATTCATGTTCTTGGATAACAAGATTAAATGTCTCTCGACATAGATTGAAAGTTCCTAGAAAATAGTACCATTACATTATCAATGAATACATTATCAGCGTCTTGATAGCTATCATTGCTGATATCACATCTTTGAATAAGCACGAATAATTAACATAAATTTACACTGACTCAATTCCGTTGAGAGTAGAACTTGGTGCGGCGTCTAAGGACTATAGTATTCCACAGGCAAAAACGTAAATTTATGCAATGATGATAATCTTACCCCGAGACTTTCTTCTTCCTCAACACCCCTCAAATGGGCGCTTTCTTCATCGTTAAAATCTTGTAGTGAGCTTTAAGAAAACATAAGATTTTGAAGAATCTTGAATGAAGTAAGCAGTAGTTCAGATGCAGAATGTGTTGACGTTGATTTTAAGGAGATTTTGAGTTTGAGATTTTGAAATCAAGAAAATTGTAGTGATAATAGCCAAAATTAGGAATAAAAAGAGAAATACTCTCTTGTGAAAAGATTTGCAGTTTCTTGCTTTACTCTTATTCATTGATTTTCCACCCTCTTCAACAAGCACAACAAGTTCGTCAGTAGACTTTGCTGTTTTTAGAGCAATCATAAATAAAGAATGTAGCAATTTCAGACAAGCATCAAGAAGAAAGGAAGACAAATGAAAACACAATGAAAATATTGCTGCTCGAATAAAGACACAGCAACGAGGAAATCGCTTGATGAATAAATTGCAGCGAGCAAACCAAAGATTCACAAATATCCTACAAACCATTCAAAAATCTATCAAATCTGTGATAAAAACAATTGCGAATTGATTCGATTGGCAAATTTCAATTGATCGGTGTATGAACAGGTGTTCTTTGCTTTTCTTGATTTTAAAAATCTGATGGGTGCTAAATCTTGATAGAGGTTTATCATCTTTGCAGTTTTAATGCAATCAGTGAATTACCAAAACAGCTACATCATTTGTTTATCCCAATGTTTATCTCTTTTGTTAATTTTTAATCAACATACAACGAGAAGACGCCAAAAAAGTTTTCATTTTTTCGTCTATAACACATATCAATACACTGGCGACGCTCTGCCTTTTTAGCTCCATTGCAATATTGCCTAGAGTTTCAACATTTGAAGAATGAGAGAAGAAAGTTAAAAGTTTAAAGTAGTATAACAAACAGTGTATGGAATGCCTAGAAGCAACCCTGACTGATAAAACATCACATTGTCGATAATTGCATTCGGATATTGCGGGGTTCGGTAAAGTTTAAGATCTTTAAATAAAGCATGGTTTGTGCATTATTCCTCCCGACTTCACCGGTTGATAGCGATTATATCAAATCAAGGAGCAATTGTGTTTTTAAGATCTATTGGTATTTTTAGCTGATACTAGAACCTAGAACAAGACACAACTCGAGGAAACTTAACTAAACTTACTGCAAAGGGCCCTCTATCTGCAAAGTTTGGGCTTCTTATCGATAACTGAAACAAATGAACGTAGAAACGGCTAACCTTCTAGACTGAACATTGTGGATCCAACGGCGAATTCCAGTGTTGTACATCTCCTTGTCAACGGTAATGTCCTTTCCTGACGGGTCTAAGATGACTGCCAACTCATCAAGGTAACCGAGTATCTAAAACGGGTGTTACTGTTACGTCAATATCTCTAAGCGATTAAGCATAGGATATTCTATTCAACAGAATCACAGAGAGGTGCACAGGGGTGGCTTCACTGGAAGGGCTGGTGAGGACAAAGCGAGCTGAAAAGCCGAGGGAAGAAGAGAATGATGGGAGAAAGGAAGATAAAAAGGAAAGGATTGTTGATGAAAGGATAGGACTGGGTGGGCAGATTAGGAAGAGAGAGAAACTGCGAGGACAGTGGGAGAAGGGGAAGAGCTCGGAAGACAGAGGAGAATGAAGGAGAATAGGGAAGGATACATCCCCGTGAACAATTGTAGTCCCCAAAACTTTTACCTATACCATACTTCCTCTAAAGAACGCCGCGGCGTTTATTAGAAACTGAAAATTTTGGATGCGACGTTCAATAGAGGGTGGCATTCATCAGAGGGCGGTGTTCAATACAAAATGAAAAGTTTGTCAAATGAAAAATGACTAGAAAAATGCGATGAAAAAAGATAAAATCAATGTCAAGTCAAGTCAAGGAATGTCAGTATCCCTGTCTCCTTCAGAGTCCTCGTCTCTATGAGATAAAAACTTTCATGGCTTTCGAATAGTAAGCGTATAAACGATTCCCTACTTCTTGTTTGGTGTGTTTTCTGATGAACGCCGCTTTTCAAGTTGCGGCGTTTTTCCAAATGGTTGGCTGAAAGTGCGGCGTTCATTAGAGGAAATATGGTATCCTAATCAAGTTTTAACAGTAATACACTTCCAGTTGGCAACTCAAGTCGATAAACAAAATGTGTATTTACGTCTATTTTCAGTAGAATTTATGTGGTTGTTTCTGAAATGAGCCATCATATTTCCTGTACTTTGCTATCATATCTTTTCTGTTATTGGCAATGTCCAACGGTTGCTATTAACCACAAATAACCCACCAAAGATATTAGATTATTTGCCACATTTAGACGCAGAACAGTTAATAAATAAACAATATAAAACGTATTAAAACAATTGAAGGATCAAGCAGTTACCATTCATTCGAAGCTGCTTTTCGCTACAATTTCCATTGAAGAAAATTGAGACAAAAAAATATATACGGTTTCTTAACTACACAAGGCAAATGTCTCTAGGTACACAGGCCCAACGAGAGGGGGCAAGGGGGCCTATAAGCAAACAGAGGTCCGCTGGAAATGACAAACTGTCCTAAAATGACTTTTAATAGCATGGTAATTTTAGGAAAAATAAGTCATATTTCTACTGGGAAAATTTGAAAGAAAGAAAAACAAGTCAAATCTTTTGCAATTTAAATCCATATTAAACTATTTAAAGATTATTGCTTTGGGTAAGAAGGGCGCAAATACTGGCTTCTGGGCCCCGGCGTGGCTCTTGGCGGTAGATCTTGTCAAGTACATGATTCCAGATGTGACAGAAGAATAGATTCCAGATGTGACAGAGACAGGGAAAGAATTCGTTTGCCAAATCCTCATGGTTTTCTTCATTTTCGATTTCAAAGACTCAAATAAAAAACGTATTGTGTATTATGTTATAACAAATATTAGGCGTTTTTCACCGGTAATTAGTAATCACTTAATCCTGAAATTGTCAACTTTGATTGCCTGCGTTGTGTTAAAAAATTAAAACTAACACGAACAAGAAAGAAATACATTCATAACGATTAATGTTTCTGTAATAAACACAGGCTTAAAAAAGCCAAACTTCGAAGAAACATCGCCACGTCCGTCAAGTTTAATTACACTCTTTTTTTATAAGAACCAGTAAATTTAAGTTCAGGCTGACTGTTCTTAATTTTTTCGAAAATCAGAGACTGGATTGTTCTTAATTTGTTCTTAATCTAATAGGGTGTAAGCAGTGCGAGTGCTAGCTTTTTCGCTCTAGGGAGGTGTTCAGGCCTCATTTGCCAACAAAGTGAGTGAGAAAACCTTCATTTGCCGAAAAGTTTGAATATTCGATGAAAAAGCACCCATACATCGCTAAAAATCCTCGATTTTGAGAAAAAACGTTGTTCAAAATTGCATTTTGCAGAGCTCAGCCTCAACTTGTTCTTAATTTGTTCTTTACTTTTGACCAATTTTGAGGCTCGTGTTCTTATAAAATTGTTCTTATAAAAAAAGAGTGTAATATAACTTGAAAACTCAGAAAAAATCTTTATACTTGGTATTATCAAAAATAATTAAAAAGAGGGAAAGTTAAGAACCCTTATACGAAATATACTAAAAATATTCTTTTGTTAGAAAAGCACGTGGCCGTATGTCATAAAATATGTAAAGAAAAACACTTACTTAATGTCAAATTTCATGATAGATAGCTGCAGGATATGCTCAAATATTCAAAACAGCGGATCAAAGGGTCTACCTGCCAATTTTTATAGTGATATGCTGATTTTGTGCAGCTAGGAACCTTGCATTAATCCACGATTCGCTTACAATGTTCCTTGCGATTCGTGAGTTTCAAGCAAAAGAGCATGTGCTCAAATTTGCTACATAATTTATTTATAAAATCGAGCTGAGAATTAACACAACGAAATATGCCCAAATCTTCGTCACGTCTGCGAATAATCTTTGCATCATTTAATATCTACGGCAACGGGTTAATATTTTGCAGGTAAATTCTTCTACACCTGTTATTACAAATTTGATGTTGAGGTGTCGAAATTGACGAAGAATGGACTATTTTGGTAGACCCCTACTAGGTATGATATAATGTATACGTGTTTGCAAAAGAAATGAGGGTCGTTCATACACTTTCATGCCTATAGACCTGCCATCTCTCTACTTATATCATATAGCTTAGGCTACAGTTTAGGTCTACTGAAAGCTAAGTTCATATTCCCGGTGCTAGAGCACAACCGGGGCAAGTTAGTACCGATGGTGTACAAAACCGGAGATAAATCAAGACCGTTGAGAAACTTAGACCGGTGTTTAATGCGCAAGACGAATCCAGTATCCAAACCAAACGTTAGTATGTTTTTGATTTGCGATTCTGCCTAATCAGAAACCCGAAAATATTTCAGGATATCGATAAATAATTTATACATTTCTAGGCATATCATAGGCCATTTTCACACAACCAAGCTGTTTAAAATACCATGTATGCCTGAAAAATGTCAAGCTTCTATCATTTACAAAGACTGTGAAATATTTGATGGTAGCCCTTCTGATATCTATCCTGAGAAGAGGAGTTATATTTATCCTGAGATATATGTCTTTTTGCCCGCGTATAAGTCTTTATTTTGTCATACGAGCCATTCAATTTACTGCCAACCTTCTAGGTTTCAGAGGTGGCAATCTCCACTTTCAAGGTCAAAGTTCATGAGAGGCCAAGGCTCAGGTCAAAGTTTGTAGTTCAAGGTATCAAAATAAAGTGAACCCTGACCTTTGGGTTGTCCTCTGCAGCTGCCTCTTTGAGTAAATGATCAAGTAGCGTAGATACT